GGTGCCGGCGGCCGGCGACGCGCCCGACGAGGCCCGCGACTGCGTCATCTCGCGCAGCGTGCGCGGCGACGCGGGGCCCGCGGCGGCCGAGGCGGGGCCGGGGGCGGGCAACGCGTCGTGCTCGCTGCACTGCGGGCCGGGCACGTGCGTGCTGGTGCAGGGCCGGGCCGCGTGCCGGTGCGACCCCCTCTACACGGGCGAGCACTGCCAGCACTTCCGCTGCGCCGCGTACTGCTACCACCGCGCCGCCTGCGCGCTCGCCGACGACGGCGTCTCGCTCAAGGTTGTTGTTTCCGCTTCGGCGCGTCCGAGCCCGCCACCTTGACCGCTCGGGCCGAGCCCTGACCCGCCGCCTCCCGCAGTGCGTCTGCCCCCCGGGCTACGGCGGGCCGCGCTGCGAGCGCGCCGAGCCGGCGCCGGACCCCTGCTCGGCCGTGCGCTGCCTCAACGGCGGCACCTGCCGCGCCTCGCGCTTCCTCGCGCGCTGCCTCTGCCCGCTCGAGTACTACGGTAGGCCCTCGCTCCTCGCCTGCTCCGGACGACTGACTCGCAGTTGTTACTCGGACGAATAAACGGACCACAGATTAGGCCGTTTTCAAATCATTTCACTACGTACGTACAAAAAGAAATATCAACGACTTTATGGTCCTGCACAAACTAATAATTGGATATTGACTGTTACACTCGCGCCTCGTCCTCGAAATCAGTATAACAGATATAGATATAACACATGCAGTAACACATAAGTGACACCACTCTTCACTGTAGTTGAGAAAAACATTTTGTTTTGTTTCGGGGTAGTTTTAGGCTAATATCGCCATATAAAACAATATCGGTTTGCGCTCGCGTCATTCAGATTTTAGTACTCAACCGACGATAATAAAAATGTTCACAATGTACAAAAATGCCATGCAAAATGAACCGTAAGCGTATTATTTCAACATCGTCAGATGAAGACGATTTAGTGCGTCCATCATATTCAGATTCATCGAGTAATGCAACTGAAAATTCAGGTATGTACCACTAACAATAGATTACATGCACATTAATTTTGCTAAAACACCTTTGTTTGCATTCTTGAACAATCATTAGGGTCGTTCACCTCAAATTTTCAAGAAAGTATTATTTTATTTGTAACTGTTCGAAATTAACGACGTAACCTTGTCCAGTGTGCGTAAACGTATTTACATTCGAATTAAAAATGTGTAACCTGAGCCACCACTGGAGTTGACTCGACACACATTTTTTATGCACCTTAGTAATATTGGGTCTGGTATTGACCTCTTTACCCACATAGTAAAACCGTATTGATTGCAATACGAATAAAATGCTTAATAAGCCTTAAAATTTAAGTATAATCGCCAAAACATAATTTATATAGTCTATGTTATATTACATTTACAGTTATAGCCGCTCTCGGCCCACAAGCACTTCATCAGCTATTGCTATAGAACAAAATGCTGAGGGACAAAACGAGCCAAGTACATCTTCGGCTACAGTTCTGATGCAATCCAATTAGAAAGTGACGTTCTTGAAATATTAGGCGCAGACCCTTCGACATTGAAAAAATTCGCTCCTGACATACACGCTGGAATTGCAAGGCGTTTTGAGTGCATTGCTACTGAAGGTCTCAGCAAAAACATTCCGAATCCGGTCGACGCTTACCCTGGTGGCCGGAATATTATCCGGGAGTGGTTTCTGCGCAGAGGAATATATAATAATATACGTATAATCATGTAATAGATTAGAATAGATAGATTCTATAATATACGCATCTATGCCAAACATTATAAGTTTCTCACCTAACTTTTCCAAAGTGGTTCTCAGTACGGGACACCCAACTCGTACAGATCCGCTCTATCCTTGATTATAGGAACCTGTGTATCAAAGGATGAAAGTATAACAAGGTTTCATTAAAGGAGTTTTTCGCCTACGTCCACGTTTGCCAAAATACAATTGTACATGGAATCCGAATTGCGTATTAGATTTATTAAGTACCCGTTATCCAAACGAGGATCTTTTTCTAGAAAATTTGCCAAAAAAGTGTGTTACATTGTTGGCTCTCACGCTCTCACTACAGCACACAGAGTGCACACTTTTTCTAAAATTAATGTTAGAAATATAGAAATATTGGCAGACAACATTTTAATTAAAATACCCGACTTAATAAAAACATTGATGTTGGCTCATTGGCTCTAAGCAACCAATACTTTATTTATCATTTTTTGAAGGTAAAGCCGAAACAAAACTTCTACTTCTTCAACTTCGTAAATCCAATGCGTCATTTATTGGTTCAAAGAAACCGCACAAATCAGTTTCCACGCAAACACAGCCGCTGGATCTTATCTACGCTAAGAGACAGCGGCGCGCGGCGTGTGCTTGTCGACCATAGATTTAGTATATCCATATATACTAAATCTATGGTGTCGACATTTACCGGCCACAGCGCGCGTCACGCGAGTACTTCGCGCGCGCTCTCCTCGGGGGTAAATATCGACCTTATAAGAAAGACTGCACGTTGGAGCGGAGGCTCCAAAACTTTTGTTAGATTCTACAACGAGCTGTGGGTAGTTGATAATAATGGTTGCTCATTAGCTAGGTCGATTATTAATTAATGTTAAAAACCATAATGATAATCAGATAGAACATAATCGATCAACAGGTGACTGATATAGTGATTAGAAGTGTTATATTAGTATAATTTAAAATAATTATATTCAGTTAATTATAAAAAAACATAGTGTACTATTGTCGTTTCTTCTGATTAAAAATGTATGTACTAGCTCTCGACTGATTTATTGATATTCCCGAAATACGTAACTCTCAAAGTCTACATGTTATATCTATATCTGTTATACTGATCTCGAGGACGAGGCGCGAGTATAATTATGATAGAACTTCACTTAAGGTAAGTTCGTTTAATCATCAATTCTCTTAACGCAGAAAATTAACTTCAACGTTCCTCGTCCTTCTAACGTTTTGTAAATAGAAAAACGTTCAATCTTCCACACACATGTACTAATTATGTTTATATCGTATCTGTCCACTGTAATAATTAAATTTTTATTGAATTGATATTCAATTATTTTTTGTGAAATTACTCCACTAGTTTGTTACAATTATTAATACAAAGATCGAACACTCAGAAAAAATTACTTCGATCCGGTCGGATTCGAACCGACGTCTTCTTGCATACCGTGCCAGATGCTATACCAACTAAGCCACGGAACGAACCAACGTGAGTGTTTTTTCTGAGTGTTCGATCTTTGTATTAATAATTGTAACAAACTAGTGGAGTAATTTCACAAAAAATAATTGAATATCAATTCAATAAAAATTTAATTAAAAATTATTTGTTGAAAGTATATACTTGCCTACAGTTTTTTTATAATTTTATTTTTGTAATAATTAGCATGCCACGGTTCACAGCGACGAGGGTGCGTACGCTCCGACGTATAAAAAGAGTTTTGATTATATATCATGTAATTTATTTTGTGTATCGGTGTTTTGAGAACCGAATAAAGAAAAAACCAAGAAGGAAAAAAGGCACCTTCGGCATACCGCGCCTGACGCTATACCAACTAAGTCACGGAAGAAACCAGCGGACCTCACGAATTTTTCTATGTGCTTGTTGTCGTGTCTCCGTATTTGATTTGTCAGCGACTTTTTAGCCGTAGCGCTACGGCTAAAAGTTGCTGAAAAAATCAAATACACCGAGCTACGGAACGAACCAAAGGAACTTACGGTTTTTTCGATATGCCGGTTGCAGGTCTCCGCCTTTGATTTTAACGACTCTCTTGGCGTAATTTCTTTCGAGTGAATAGTTATAAGAAATGTAAAAAGACGTAAACGACAACGCGCAGGCGAGCGCTGCGAGCGCTGCACCGAGGGGCCGCCGTGCGCGCCCGGCGGCGTGTGCTCGGTGGTGGACGGGCGCGGCTCCTGCGAGGTGGACGTCTGCCGGGGCTACTGCCTCAACGGGGTGAGTGGCGGCGGCGCGGCCGCGGCGTCGGCCTCGGCCCGCGGCCGCGGCAGCTCTGACCGGGCCGTTGCAGGGCACGTGCGCCACGTCGGCGCAGGGCGTCGCGGCCTGCGCCTGCGCCGCCGGCTGGGCGGGCGTGCGCTGCGAGCTGCGCGCGCGCGCGCCCGACGCCGCGCACGACAACGACACGCCGCCGCGCCGCGGCGCGGGCGACGACGCGGGCGACGACGCAGGCCTGCGCCCGCACCGTGAGTACCCCGCGGCCTGGCCCGTTTTTAGTATGTTACTCCCCGACTGAAGAAGTAAACGGCCGCAGCTCGCTTCTCGGACGCCCGGACCGGAACCAATGTAGAAAAGGCGACTTCCCAAATTGGTCCTCTGCGTCCAGCACCCGCAATGTAAACCGTTAGGCCACCGAGGTCGTCTCGCATTCTCGCTTCTACATATCTAACTGTAGTTTAATAGCAGCAGAACTCCTTGTGAAAGAGTTCATCCTTGTGAAAGAGTTCAAGAGGGAAGTGCTGCCGCCATACCTATTTCTGCCGCCAAGCAGTAACGTCAACATTACCGTGTTCCAGTTTTGAAGGGTAAGGGTGCTGGTGAAATTACAGGCACATGGGCCTTGTCAACTTATGTCTTATGGTGACAGGCGCAGTGGTAGTACCCCTCAGATCTTTGCGATTTAAAGCTCTGAGTGGCACTGCGACTGTTATGGACACGCGTGTGGCATACGACTTGTTCGTCACGTCACTTGATGTTATAAAAAATCCCGATTCTAGTAATTTCCAAAAATAAAAACCACAAAACTGCTTGTATAACAACGTGGACAATTATAGCTATAATATAATATATTAAGTAGAGTTTGAGATCGTTTTTGCTTTACCCAAATAATGCTACCAAACAAACCAGTATTTGCCGAGTTATACTCTAGTTAATTCGGAGAAGTGACACGTGAACAAAAATGGCGAAGGCGTCAATGTAGCGTTGTCCTCGTGGTAAAGCGGACAAATTCCCAGAAATGTTACGAGATTTTCATTTTCACACGAATGTTGAGTTCCTTGCTTTTATTTTCCTGCCATCGTCTATTGTATGATATGGAAGACGTGTATTTTTTTAATAAGCAAAGAAAACAAACCAGCGTGTACAGAGTGTAATTTTTTAATGGGACAGTATAGGAAAATCCGAAACCATAGAATATACAAGGAAACTGTGTTTTTCTGTTAAAACAATTTTGGCATAGTCAATTTTTTGCTCAAGCGGGAGTCCATATAAATGATTAAAATTGCTCAACATTTTTTTAGTGGTAATCGACTCAGTTTTATGAAGGGATCATTTCATTGTATGCGACGAAAAAAAATTGGGACAGCCGAAGTTGGTCAAATTCATAAAATATTTTTCATACAAAATTAATAAAATTAAATAGACTCAGTTTCTCACGCTCGAACAAAAAGTTGACTGTATCAAAATGGTTTACACAAAAAAAGACTTAATGGTTCCTGAGATAGTTTCCTTGTATCTTCTAAGGTTTCGGATTTCCCCAAACTGTCCCATTTAAAAAAAACATATAATTATACATATATAATCGTATATAGATATAACTCGTAAACCTTAAAATTAACAGATAATATTATTTACTTTGCCATGCACAAAAGGTGAAGCATTTTCAATTTATAATATGAATTAACACAGTACAATTGAAAAATACCCAAAAATTTTATTTATAAATATAATAATAATATAATAAGTTGAATAATATGTAATAATCTATATATAAGGAGAACTTGTCAAACAAACGATCGAGGAAAATCAGCGCCTCGTTTACGCAATGTGTTTACGCCCGCGAGGCGTTTGACGGCGTCACGCGTGTCGTCGGCGCCGGAGCGGAACCTTTACTTAATGTAGAGGCACACACAAAGCATGTCTCGTCGCCGCACCTCGCGGTCGCGGTCGCGGTCGTCCGGCGCAGCGACGAAACTCGACCTTCGCCCGCCACTGCCGATGTGCAAGCGATTTTGATGCAACGTTGGCAAAGTCATTAAATTAAATGGTACCATATCCGTCTCACGGTGTTGCGCAAACGAAGCGAGTCCATCACTATGTTGAATTAAACTTGTGGTATTTCCATTTGTGCAAATAACTTGCGCAGGTGTCTAGTCAAAGTTATTTATTACTATAAAACGAACTCGTAGACACAAACATGTATTTGTGTTCGAAATACAGCCTTATGTAAGTTACTCACGCTCAAGCCGCTGGGAATCTCCCGCTGCCAGTGTGGCGTGTTTTACGAAGGAAAACATGAAAGTAATAATTTTGTTAATAGTATGGCATAGTACATTCGCTACGAGTTGAGGACGATTCAAGCTGGCTTATTACGGCTAATATACACAACAATTAGCTGACATTAAAACTGGCTTGTTTCTTTTCTGTGGTTTAAATCGAACCGGAAGGCAGATAACTTCACAGAATCGGCTATGGCAGGTTTGTGAGTGATTAAGTTCCGGTTAGTGGGTCATTTGGGTGACGCAATAAGTGATGTGAGGGTCGCCGTCCGCACTTCGCGGTAACTTGCGCTTGCTCGGTCTTTAGAGGGAGCGATCCCATTTAGTTCATTCCGACAAATGAACTATTTCGATCTTTTAGTTCCTCAGTTCTATGGGATCTAGGAAATGAGAAGGAATGGGAACCGTTTCGGTTTTTGAAGGACACAGAATGAAATGATCCGCATGAACAATTTAAATAGGAATGTTTTATTATTTTTCCTCTTTGCTATTACCTATTAACCTTCGTACTCGTACAATTATTTTATTTGTATTTTTTAAAATTTTACATTATAATTTTGTTTCAAAATACATACATATGGATTTGTTGTATTTGAATTTGTCATTTTATATGTACTTGTTTATTAATGTGTATATGCACAACGTGTACATGTAAACATGGTGTGTGTGTTAAATTGGATATAGAAATAAAAGTAAATATGAAACATGTTTAATGTATGTATATTGTTATACGTTTATATTTGAGTCAAACAAACTGGCAAGGTTCGATCGTGCATCTCACTCGAATTTGTTTATTAAAAGCAATGATAGTTCACTGGTTGTCTCGTTCGCACCATCTCGCCTCGCGTCTGAACTGAAAGAACTAAAAAGACAGGTGAACTATTAAGATCGTGCACTAGGAACTATAGGTCCTTTCAGTCAGTATCAGCAATTAATTACTAACAATTCCTAGTTCATGAACTATTCAAGTCCACTTCGCGGTTCGCGACGCTCGACATTGACAGCCGCCGCAGTTGTCCGCGATGTGCCCAGCTACCTGCGCGTACGCAGCATTGTATTCGACGCTTTTTATAACAGTAATAATAACGTGAATTAAATTGTAATTCATATTTTATTACGAATATTAGTATTGATATAAATGTTAAATAAAATTAAGTTCCCGCAACTGTGATCGGCGTGTTGTTCGACGAATATTTAGAAGAAATTTGTTATACGGAATAACAAGTTTTTAAGAGTAGTGCACAATGCTGATGCAGCATCGGCGACGGCGCTCGAGCAGCCGCAGCCGCAGGCGACGCGGTCAGTTTGCAGTGAACTGTATTACGTCAACCCTCACTAGAGGCAGCGGTATAGTGCATGAACGGTAGCCCGTACTCAGGATGCAATGTAAAGCTCCAAAACTAAATTTTGAATGTATAACCTTCGAGTCTACTTCGAGTACTGCAACGGAAATAAGCGTTCGGAAAAGATATTTAATTAATGTCAAATTTATTCATCAGAATTAGTTAACTTAAACGAAGTTCAACGCGTTGCTTACGCGGTGTATATTAATGTAAGACAGATCGAGGCGACAAGATCATAGCACGAGTCGGTAGCGGCAGTGGTGCTAATGGTCGGCGCTCGATTAGCACCAGCGTAGCATTCGTGGGCATTCGTTAGGGCAATAATATTAAAGCATCGTCATAAATTTACCTGAATACTAAATGGATAAATAAAAGTTCAAACGCTTCCACAAACTCGTGAACAATACGTGCGTGATTATTAGGTGTGATGAGAATAATGGCAGATTATGGTATTTAGTAAACACGTGTCAAGTAAATTCAGTCAAAACGGTCAAATAACAACCAATTAGTCCGCTGCTTTTGTCTGAGCCTTTTTTTATTATTCTAATCAGCAACCAATCAGACGGTTTACCGACGACAAGTGGTCACAGCCGTCTCTAGACATTTGTGAAGAAGTATCCTTATAATATCGCAAATAGTGTCGGGTTTGTGGGATATAATATAAATATTAGACAACATCACACACGTTGCTCTGATTTCAAAGTAAAGTAGAGCACTTGTGTTATGAAAATCGGAAACACCCAGACTCGTGACCGAGCCGGGAATCGAACCTGGGACCTCAGAGATGGCGACACCGTGAAAACCAGTGTTCAAGCCGTGGTCGAGTATGGAGGTCGTCGATGTTATATCTGAAGTGTGCCGTGCCCATGATTGAGCGGCTCTCTCTGTTCTTGAGACAGAAACACAGCAGTGCTGCTTTGCAGTGGAAATAGGTGAGGAGGGTGATACCTACCCAAGCGAAACCTCACACAGAAGACTCATTAGTGTACGACGAAACATCGGAAGGTGGCATCAATTTTAAACCTGTCTGCGTTTGACTAATGTTGCTAAAATGACATCGTTGTAAGTCCAAAACGAGCGTAGGAATTCCTACGATATTTCGTTGTGATGAGCTATGAAGGAGTTACTTTTAGGTTTCGATTTTTTTGCGTGTCTCATGACCGCACCTTTACAATGAAAGTGATCCAATACAAAATCATAATTTTTTTCATTACGTTTAATTTATGACTCTTGAAGTACTACAGTTTGTGCCTTATCGGTCTTGGAAAATAATGATGGAACCATTCAGCTTTACACCTGCAAAAATTGCTTGTGATTATTTTAATATTTAACAATTTAAAACATAATTTACAAGTACTATATAGTCGGCATAAGGTCACTTTTTTACTAAACTTTTTTGTTATTATTTGACGTATTAAGTCTCTTTAATTTTAACCACGTAAGCGACGTGTTATGACCTTATCAAGATTAAGTCGTTTTCATTGTGAAAGAAAGTCCTCAAAGTAATTAAGTCGCATTTGTAAAAATTTTGTGATGTTTTTAATAACGATTTACGGAACGAAAATAGCAACCGTGGCAGCGTGTTGTCTTTAGATTCAACACTAAAGTCGGACGCGGGAGTGGTATTTTGAAATTGAAAGTATGAAATGAAAAAGATCCATATAGTGGATCAGTGCTATTCGCGCTTCAATAGGTCAGTTTCAGATTAGCAATCTTGTGAACAACGATTTTTAAAGTCGTTTTACGGTATAAACTCATTCATTTTTTGAATAGGGCCGCCGTCATTGAGCAGTGTTGCGTGTCCCCGTAACTAGAGTACGCTGGTGTCAGAATATTATGTCGAACTTGTGTAACATGTCGGGATTTGCAATGAATCAGAATCGCTGGCGGAGTGCGAGCCCGGCCCGGAGGGCGGCTGCGTGAACGGCGGGCGCTGCGTGGCCACGGTGGGCGGACAGCGCTGCGCCTGCGCGGGCGGCAGCCCCTGGGGCGGCTCTCGCTGTAGCGTCTACGTCGGCTACGACCACACCTGCAAGCACCTCGGCTGTCCCCCTACCACCGTTTGCGTCTGGAGACCCACACGTCGGTACCCTCGTAACTCGCCGTCAGTTCGTCGTTCGTTCGTTCGTTGACGACGACCGTCGCGTTGCAGCCGACGCGGAGGAGGAGGGCACCCCGTTCTGCGCGTGCCTGGAGGGTGCGACGTGCCCGCCCACCGACAAGTACAAGATGATGGGCGGGCTGGCGCCGCGGCCGCCCAGCCGCGCGCCGCCGCCGGCATCGGCGGAGGGCGGCGCGCTGCACGCGGCGCTGGCGACGCTGCTGGTGCTGGCGCTGCTCGGGCTGCTGGCGCTGCTGGCCCTGCGCTGGCGCAGACGGTGAGCCCCGCCCGCGACCCCTCCCCGCGCCGGCCCGCCCTAACCCTGTCGCGTCCGCAGCGGAGCCTTCGTGCACGCGCGCCTGGCGGACAACGTGGAGATCAACAACCCGATGTACCTGGCGGGCGACGACGACGCCGACGCGCCGCCCCCCGCGCCGCCCGCGCCCCTCGCGCCGCTCGCGCAGCGCCACGCCGTGAGTACGCCGCGTGCAAGCCGTGGCCCTCCTCTTTTTCATTATTTTACCCTATCGCTTTCCGAAATCGAAGAAATGAACCGAACCTCGAAATCTCGTATTGCAGAACGGCAGCAACCACTTCGCGAACCCGGTGTACGAGAGCATGTACGCGCAGCAGCAGAACAACCCCGTCGAGGTGAGCGTTCCGCCTTTATTGTCATTACGGAACGTTTAGGTTGGACGTTTGAAAAAGCCCGTTGTGGACCGAATATCTACCGTGCAATTGTTTAACATATAATACAATAATTTACTTATTTCAGACGTTCACGATCCGTATTTGTAGTAGAAAGAAAAGTACTTAAGCACCAGTGTTACAATTTACCACGTGTAGAAAGTGGGCCATTAAAATTTCTAGAATGAAACAATTACGATAATGATAAAATTGTGAACCGCGGGGCCCGGTGGTCCCGAGCACCCGCTCGTGAGCGCCGCCGGCCTGACCGCGCTGTGTCCGCAGGAGCACGCCAACCTGCTGGAGGGCGAGGGCGCGGGGGGCGCGGCGGGCGCGGGGGGCGAGCGCGACCGCGCCGCGCTCCTCTAAGCCCCTCGGCCTCTTCACGCCGCGCCGTTCTCCGCTTCGTTGTGCCAAACTACGTAACCTCCATGTCAATAAAGAAGGTTCCAGTAACACGCATAAAGAACATTTGTTTTCTGTCGACACTTTCGCAACTTCTACATAACACGAAATTAACGATCTATTACGTCCGAACACGATCGCTCTGCAAGTTACGTGAACTTGAAAATAACAAAGCGAACGTTTAACACGTACGACTTGAAGTCGTATTGCTTGAAGTAATTATCGTGGTTTCCCTACAGAGCTAATGTTATCGACGAAGATTCGTCGAAAATTTATGAGACGGCGATAGTGATGTTAGCACTTGAAGATGAACCGCTTTTTCCTTGTTTATTCACGCCTGATTCCATCACTTTATCCCGGAAAAAATTCTGTCAAAGTACGACCTATCGACTAGATCTCCAATTACAAGAAAATGTAATTACTATGTAATTCTTTAAAGTTTTGTATTCACAATCATCTTTATTCTTATAATAAATTCATAATTGTGAAGGCTGCCCTACTTGCATGTTTACACCTTTTTATACTCTTTATTATTTTTGATATTATGAATATTGTTTTATGGCAATCCAATAATCATTTGTTTAGGGCCAAGGCGGCGACAGTGACTCACTTTTTTTGAAAGGCCAGTTCTTGATTTTGAAACGGGTTCGAGAATAGTTAGGGTGAAAAATACGAGGTGTAAGCTAATGTAATTTTGTAATTTTATTCGATAAAAGGTTTTCTTTTTATAAAATCGGGTTAAGCCACTGCGTACTGCGGGTTGGGTACAGTGAATCACGTAGGTCGACAGTGAGCCATCGAATATATAATTTACAATAAAATGCAGTTTTTAGGGGTTTAAATTAATATTTTTACTCTACATCTCTGAAAATAGCCTCCAGCCCTCATTATGTATCTGAACTGAAAGGGGGATATAATTGTGGGTAGTTTTTAATCGATGACGGAGCAAGTTGATTCCACAATTTCCAAACAACTTTTATTACAAATATTAGAATCAAATCAAGTAAAATTTTCCGAAAGAGTACCAAACTGGGGGTAACGCTACTCCACTGGCATTAATAATACAACAAGTGGTGGCTAAAATGTCTCTATCGCCACGTGTAACTTTGCCTATATTTTTACGGCCTTTTGGTGCGATGACTTTTTGAAACTTTTTGTACCGTTGTAGTAGAAGTTTCGTCTAGATTATTAATTCTTGACCCGTCTGCAAACGCGGAGCGCCTTTTTATTAAGTCTTCTACATATATACAATCATTTAACGTTTGTTCTATTGAAGGATGTAACACTTGCGAGACTACATGCCTCCGGTTTTCTCAGTGTGAGTTCTGGATTTCTCTTTCTGAAACTTAAAAACCAATCTTTTCCAGCCATTTGTTTTGTCCGCCATGAATCGGGCATTTCAAAATTATTTACATTAGTCATTTGGTAGGCAATTTCCAGGTGTTCCTTCGCATTTAATCCATAAAAAATCAAAGCAGTGTGTAAAATAATCTTTTAATATTTTTTCCTGCGCTGTAGTGAAAACCTTATTAATGGTATAATTTAGCGTCAAAGGAGTTTAAAGTGATAGCGCCTTAGTGTAGTGAAAGGAATTCCTGAAAGTTTTGCAGCTTTTCTGACACTCGTTCCGTTCTTAATATTTTTAAAGCTTTCTTCATGTCGTCCGCTGTATGATTTCCGATTTTACGGGGCTTTGATGGACGAGGCATTCATTTGCTTTAATATTAACTGGGGTCTATTTGATATAAATAACAATAGAATAGATTTTATTTTTATTTCGTGGCAAAAACAATACTATTTGTTGGGTAGATATCAATACAGTACACAGTGGCTCATGATCCAGTGTGTACTCAATTGGTTTCAACCACACTGTGTACTTGGCCGCCATTTTGCATATAAGTCACACGCAACACTATTGCCTACTGACAGGTGCATTATAGGTGATACATAGCGTTTTCAATCAAACTGAATTTCTGACCACAAATATCGATTTATTAATGTAACAAAAGGTTAGTGAATAAATACGAAGTATATCTTACCATAATACTTTCCTTTTGTAACTGGAAATCAGAAACTACACCTCACGTACAATTTTTTAATTGGGTTAGTACATTTATGGATAGAAAAATCATTTCCATACACCCTTTCCCATTTTCTTTCTTTTCTTTCAAAGAAGTTAGTGAATGTTTGTTATAAATCGTTACGAGTTAAACGCTTATTACTCTACCGGATTTCAAGGGCTCTGCGTCAAGGGTGGGTGTTCATAATATTCAGTCGCCCAAATCGGGGACCCCAAGTCTTATTACATCTCCCTTAGTGAGGGTCCCCTGAAATCGTTTAGTGTAATAAGCGTTTTACACCTAGGGTCTGACAAAGTTCCGGTTTATCACGAAACGCTCAAAATCTCGAGGTAAACCGAGTTCGCCGTATGAGTCGGAAGAAATATGGAAAGTTTTAAAAGAAAGTGATGGTGAAGATCATCTTATGGAGGAATGGAGGATTCAAACATGAGAGATGAGATTTCTCTACCTTGTGGAACAGAGACTTAAGATTTCGTTGCTACGATCCGGGCCATTAAATAATTATTTTGCTTGTTTACCCGGCTTTTTAATTTTTGATTGTTGGGGTTTTGAAATTGTTTACTTGAATATTCTTTTGTTTTCATTACCATGATTACCATGTGCCATACCTATGTGCTAGTCAATAACAGACTTTTGTGACTTTGTAAAATATATTATTTCTTGTGGTTTATTTAGACAGTGATAATCTGGCAACATTGGTTAATAAGTCATCCGGTACCGCATGGTTAATGTCATTTTCGTGGTCCATACGTGTAACCAAAATGAAGATGATCTAGCTGACGTGTGCACATTTTATTAAACCCTCAAATTTATTAAGGGTCGTGCCTCATATATGATGCGCTCAGGTATCGTTTAGACCACGAAATGCAAGCCATATGATGCATGCACAGGGCACGTGAATATAAATTTTCACTCGTTACAACAAAAACAATTCACTGCACATGCTAATGTGGTCGCAGACGCAAACTGTCTGGTCCTAACTTGTTCATATATAAGACGTTCCTTACAGGGAGCAAGGAGAAATGGAATGAAGGAACATCTGTTACTTTCCTACCAATCCTTACCGAGCCACTGTTGCCGCCTCGACACTAGTTGTAATGTCGACCAAATACGACTCGCCTGCCTCTGCCAGAGTAGCGAGTCCGGTAGGATAGAATTAAGCAATGTGATGTACTCTGTTGTACTAAATGAATAACTTAACAGTTTAGTATAAGTTAGGTTTACTTGTTTCGAAGTGAGATTGCAGCACTCACATCACTTTAATAACCTGTAAACTAAAGCGAGTCACTGTTTTGTCGAGGGTGGTAAACACCCGGCCGGTTTATGTATGCACAAGATAGCCTGGCTGCAATACGCTTCAGTACAGCCATATTATTTCCGCAAATTGTATCTAACCTTAATGCAAATAAGTTACAACATGGATTTAGTTATATACTGAATGTAGGGTTACAAATATCTTCTTAGTCTAGTTTTCATGTACGCATGGCAAAGTTTGGTTAGTGAATAGGTAATTGGAATAAAATGAAATGTATCCAACGAGATGAATTTATAGCTGTACGTAAATGGAGATACTCTGCTCTGCTCTGCAGGCTGTTATTTTTGTAGTACAATTTATTTTACTTGTAAGCTTTTTAACAAATTTATTCGAATAATGTTATTGAGACAGTGCCATAGAAGAGGTGAAATGTGAAAGTTCCTTTGTTCACGTCTTTAGTTGTGATCTGATACTGTTGGTGATCGCCGCGAAGATTCGTAGCGGTCGCTCGTTACTCTAGACTGACTGTACAGTGGCTTTCGGTTGAAAGTTACAAAATAAAAATGTTATTATAGTGTAGTGTGGTCTCAAGTAATTAGCTGTATGTCGCGGCCAGTCTCACTCATGTTTTGTGCGCGTTGTGATCGCGGCAGCTATTTTTGAAAGATACGATTTTGCATTTTCTTTTTTTGTAATAGATTTCTAGCGTCTAAGTTTATTGTGTAATTTGAACAAATCAGTCGACCAATGTCCGTCGACGCATGCGATATCGAGCTATGATCGCGTACAGATGAATCTCAGCGGCGTCGGCGCCGAACGTAGACACGAGCTTACGTCACTAGTAACGAATTTCAATTTCAACACGTTTAGCACCAAATATTAGTGATACGTAACTTAGTACAATTTACTCATTTTGACGGACAAATGTCGCACCATTACTCATTTATTCTAAGTTGGTATACAACATACCTCAGACGTATGTATAAGCCTAGTGTAATGTTTAGACGTAAGTTTATGACAGTAATAAAACGAATTTGATGGGTATCGCTCGATGGTTTTATTCGCACGTTGTGTTAATCACGCACCATAATTATTATTGAAGAGCATGGTTTCGTAACAAAAGTACATTTAGAGTCTATACGAAACGTTGCACCGTCGTAAGTAAAAACGTAAGTGTCGGCCGCCGAGAGCCCGGGCTCAGTAGAAGTCGTCCTGCGGCGCGGGCTTCGCGGCCTGGTTCCGCACCTGGTCCTGCGCGAGGTACATGTCGGCGATCTGCCGCGCCGACGTGGCCTGCTCCGGCGCCTTGTCGTCGCGCACGCGCACGAACCTGCAAATAAACGCACTGCGGATTTCAAGAGTCAGGGCGCGGACTCCTCGCTATTACTCCAAGTAAAACATACCATGTATTCATTCTTTTTATTCATTCTAGGGAAGCAGACGTCCGTAGGTGCCAATGGAATGCGGAAAATTATTGATCCGGTTTTTAGATTACTCAAAAATTAGGACTCGAAGTTAAAGCGAATGAATTTGTTAGTGACTTCAAAATTGTAAAGGTTGCCGTGTGCCGAGGCTTTGTGACCGGATCTCTATGCTACATTCCCACGTTAACAGCGCGCCTGTCATAGAAGAATGCAAATGTTATGCTTGCGGACGACACATGCCTTACGAGCGCTGGGTAAGATTATTATTACTGCATCGTTGCAAAATCTACATGACGACTTTAACGATTTTACGAAAATTATTATTATTATAGAATTATTCTAAACAAATGGAAAAGAAAGTTCATGCACATGTTTTCAGCGTATAATAGGAAACCGTAGGACAATCCTTGCATTTGATCGGTCACTCATTCGCGTGTCTGTATCGCGTTACGATTGCATGTGGTCGGTATCAATCTCGGGAATGTGAGCGTTATGGTAGAGGGTCGGTTTAATGTCGATACTTATACGTAGATGTTCCTTGAATCGATATATATTATGTTCTCGCCGAATCTATAATCGATTGCCGCGTGGGAGCGTACGGTACTATCTAGGCGATACATGTCAATAAGATCAGATTACTGCAAATACGGTCCCACAGTTGTAGGCCGGCAAGAAGGTGCGCAAAGAGTGTAAAGAAACGCATAATTACGAAACGTCGCTTAAAGGTCGGAAGGTAAATCCCGTCGAAAAGAATTTGCGTCCTCGATCCTCGCAGGAATGTTCAAGGCGAGAAGTACCAAGCACCAAGACACAACCGTCCCACGGCGAGCAAGAACCGGAGTACCTGGGGAAGCGCAGCGACACGCCCTTGTCGCGGTGCAGCAGCCCCGCGGCGGCGCGGTGCGCGGGCGACAGCGACAGGTCGGCGCAGCGCAGCTCCCACACGGCGCCGGCGGCGAACCAGGCGTCGGGCGCGTGCGCGGGGTCGAACCGGTAGTAGCTGCGCGGGCCGGCGATGGCCTTCTCCTGCAGCGCCGCCGACAGCTCGCGCAGCTGCTCGTCCGAGAAGCCCGTGCCCAGCTTGCACAGCGACTGGTACTCGTCGGCGTCGGCGTCGTAGCAGGCCAGCAGGAAGCCCCCGAAGACGCCCGCGCGCTTGCCGCGCCCGCGGTAGCCGCCCAGCACGACCGCGTCGATGCTGTCCCCGACGCCCTCCAGGTAGTCCTTCTTGAGCTGCGGGCAGGCGCTGGCTGAGGCTGTCGCTCGCGACGCCGGCGCGAGACCGCGCGACCCACCGCACCTTCAGCCAGTTGTGGGACCTTCGCGCGATGTCGTACGCGGCGCTCGGGCCGTGCAGCGTCTTCACCATCAGCCCCTCGCAGGACTTCTTGATGGACTCGTCCAGCAGCGCCTGCACCTCCTCGAGGGTGGAGCAGTCCGCTCCCGCCGCGAACTGCCACTCGCCTGAACGCATATCGCATCGCTCACCAATACCGCATTGTTGTGCTAAAAGCGGCGAACCACCGACGAACGCTCACCTTCGACCTCGTTGAAGTGCGTCCTGAGCAGCTCCCTCCTGTCGGCAAGAGGCAACTTGACCAACGGCTGCCCGTTTAAGTACAGCAGATCGAAGGCGAACACGCACACCTGCACCTTGATCTCCGCTTCGTTAGCGTCCTTGCGCTTGCGCGTTGACAAGATCTGCATAGCGACAATGATTACAACAATCAAACATTTATTTTTGATTCATACATAAGAATACGTATAACGAATGGTTGCCAAATACAGTTAAAAATACAGGACCCTTTTATTGAATTAATTTTGTAACTACCTATTTAAAAGAACTCATCAGAACCCGAGGGTTATCATAAACACTGGTCGAGGCACGGTATCCGCTCTAAAAGTGGCATCATCGAATTAAGGCATTAAGGTCCGGCGCCCACTGACAGGACGCCTCGGCAGGGAATCCTTCGGCATTCCAATATACAAGCACACACTGATGACAATTTGCCGCGGTTGAGCACGCCTAAACGTTCGGCATGCCGGAGCATTCCATCGCGACATCGTACTCGTGTCTGGTATCTTTTTCGACGAGTCTTACCATGCGTACTTCCCCTCGCTCCGCATACCTAAAAATCCGTTGCCCTCCCGTCCCGTCGGTGGACGCCGGGCCCAAATCGGCGATAGCCATAAAACATTGAATTTTTCGTCGATCGCAACTGCAATAAATATGCTGTGAGGGAGGTTTCTTATATATAGCATGCGACATAACGCCATGAGAAACTACGACCAATCACTATCAAGATTTCATAGTGTTTCAAATTATGAATGTGTGAGTTTGAGCGATAGCGGTTCTGATAATAATCGAGGCTGAAGGCCCTTCCATTGTTTTTTGTTTCTTCCGTGTGATTCAAATGTTATTTAAGATAATGTTCGTTCACTTCATCAACAACTCCGTCATTAGTTTACCTCGATGGTACTATCAGACGGGGTTGCATTCATACTAAACTTCAAAACGTCAAAGTACCTTAAAAATGTAATTTACCTACAACTCACGTTGATCTCACTTATTAATTAAGTACAATAACTAATAACTTTTACTTTTTAAGCTTCTTTGCTATACCCTTCCTTATGCAATATGGAAATAAATAAATAGAAATAAATGAATAAATACATAACTTCATTTGGCTTACCGTTACATTGAAAAATATTACCTGGAATGGCAAAATTTGCTTATTAGACACGTCGTAAGCCACAGCTTCAGTGTCGAGCACGCAGCTGACCACGGAATCTTTTAATAAAGCAGGTAGCCGGCGCAGCACGTCAGGGTACTTGGAGGTGTTGTCCTCCTGGTTGCGGCTGAACACCCTCGCGTTGGCGAAGTCGGGTGAGGTGCCGTCGGTGGAGGAAGGCACGTGGATCTGCGCTCGCTCGCCGTCGTACTTCCACTCGCACGTGAACTTTTCGTTCTCGAATCTATGTCGCATGGAGTGCGCAAAGGTGCATTTGCATGAAGTGATGTGTGGTGTTGGACGAAAAAGTCATGGCCGCATAGTGTCAAACCACGGACAGGCATTGCGAATGCAGCCGAACCAAGAGACAAGGAGTTGATTGCGATTCACACCTAGATTACTCTACTAAAGCACAAAACAAAAACGAATACAATTTTTACTGAACGTGTTCTGTGTAAGCCAAAAAGTAATCATCATCTTGATATTCGACAGGAAATATTTCATATTTATTTATTATTAGTATGGTTAAGCTCATCACTGAATTAGCACACCCTTTAAATAAAATTTTCAATATAAAAACAAATTGCTTCATTTAAGTAACAGTTCTTTGCGTTTGTACTATAAATGCTAAAAATTATAAAAATAATAATACAATTAATGAATTTGTTTTTTTTGTGGGCATGATTATAAAGGAATTATATCGAAGAGAATCCACCATTTTAAGGTGAAAGTCATTGACTTAAAAATAAATGGACGACGGGTTTAATACAAAAGCCACGAAAAAAATGTCCCAAGTCAACCTATTTAAACGTAGTGACATGTAAAGGAATATGAAAAAGCTAAAACGTTGAATTTAAATTGTAATGTCATCGCAGCACTGTCTAATTTTGCTTGCTTCGCTGTCAGTCGAACAAACGAAGACTAAAGCGTGAATGACGCTCTGTATACGATTTTAACGCCCTATAAGTTCGGACACTTTTTAGCGCAGACCCGACGTCCGTATAATTGTAAGTCAATGGTGAAAGTGGAAAAGTGGGTTCTGTATTTATAGTCTGTTTTGAAGACGGAGTAAAATGACAGTCCATTGCGCAAAAGTGTTGCCTTGGGAGCAGCTAGTGGTTGTAGTCGATGAATAATACATTGACTAGCGATTGAATATTGGTTACGTTTATGGAACAAATAGTTGAACTCATTTCATTTGAATCATCCTCGGACCATTATTCATTCAATTACTGAGCACAACAAGTTCATTTGTATTGTCAATTTTTGTAAGTTCAAACATACATACACTCTGTTTAGAACTATATTTATGAAAAATAGAAGGGGGGATTATTGAATGGGATATATGAAGGGAATATTTTAAAGATTCTCATTTAAATTCAGTATAGGCAATCAAATCTAGCCGTTCTTGTTATAATGCATGTGAATAAAAATCGATCTTAATACTAGCACGCCAATTGTCAAAATAGGAATAAGGAAGCAATAACTCAATATGCAATCATTAGAACGTCGTATCGTTCACGATTGTGACATTTTTGGCAACATTTCCTCTTCTTTTACAATCTGTCGGTGAAATCATCGACAACTACACGACTGTTTAAAATCCCACAATGACATTTTACTCCGTCTTAAGAAAACAGAGTCTGCATCTGCGCACAGCACAAAACGCTCCGCTTCGAGGCACAGTGCGCACCGCTCGCCGAACGGCCGTCCCTCACCGGTCCAGGACCTCGTGCACGCCGCGGGTGGGCTGCGCCAGCATGGGCTTGAGCGGCACGCCGGGCGTGAGGCGGCAGTGGCGCGGCAGGGCCTCGGCGCCGTGGCGCAGCAGCGCCGGCACCAGCGCGCCCAGGTCGGGGCGCTCGCAGTAGGCGCTCTTCAGCAGCCGCGCGTGCTCGTCCAGCCGCGCCTGCGGGGCCGACGGACTGAGCGGGCGCTGACGGGCGCCACCCGCCGCCCGCCGCCTACCTTCAGCTGCTCCGCCGCCAGCCCCCGCGCCGCGCCGGGCGGGTGCAGCGCCGCGGCCTGCGCCAGCGCCTGCAGCGCCGACTGCTCGGCCAGCCCCACGCGCAGCTTGCCCTCCAGCGAGCGGAACAGGAAGCGCGCCTCGCACGCGCGGCACGCCACGTACAGCCCCTGGATCTTGGCGATCTTCTTGTTCACCGACGCGGCACCTGTCGCGGGGTCCGTTACGGCCACCTCCGTCTGAGGGCGAGCGAGTCCCTCCCGCGGACTCTTCTCGTCCGAGTGCTAACTTTTGGCACGAGGCTTTGTCGCTGTACTTTCAAACCTCGCACGTGACAACTTTTAAATACCACCGGAGCCTTATTACAGAAAAGCTAATTTCTAACTACGCGAACGGGCCTACCGAGGACGGCCAGTTTCGTTTCATTAATGTTACGTTTATTATTATTTGCGATGAAAAGATACTATTCCTCTCAACATAAATTCAATTTCCATAAACCTATTGCGACGCTAGCGCTGTAAAAATGTTGACCTCTTTAAACATCTCCCTTAAAGAAGTTTGTCTTTAAAGCCACCCCGGACCCAAATCGTGAATTGCCCTAATCGCATGTCTCTGCAGGACGAACACTTCGTTAATATCGACAGCATTAAAACGCGTGAAGGAAATGACCTAGCGACTTCACCGCTATTTAGCATCAAAAATTCAAGACGAAAACGTGTCCGCGCCTATATGATTTTGTTATGATTTTATAAGATTGTAATTAGTATTTCTTATTGTGATTAACTGTTGCACATATTAGTCATAAGCTTTATTACAATAAGTTACAGTATATACAATTTTCAATAAATATATGAGGGGTAGACTTTTTTGAAGGACACTTTGCAGTTTGCAGAAAAGCTGAGCTGAAGGCTCATAACCCGTAAAATAAACTACAAACTAAACTTAAAACTAAGTGCCCACTTGGGGCGCCCAAGTGGGCACTTAGGCAAGGCGCCCACACGGACCTCCGCTCAGAGCGCTACTGCAGACATACGCCAGAAGGGCGTGCTGTGGGAGAGAATCTACCACTGTACGTGCTGAAATGAGGGGCTCTACGACCTCGCCGGCGAGAACGGGTCGTGCGTGAGGAGAGGGCCTGATGTGCGATCTGGTTGGCCTTCAAAGTGGCGAGAGTGATAGGGTCGTCAGGGTCGTTGAGAACTTCCCTTGGCCGACGGGTCCCACGCACGCGGTGGGAGTGTTCCCTGAGGGGGTTATAGTTGGATGCAGCCACCACGAGGGGGTCGGGGCAGTGAGGAGCAGAGTCGAAGTATTTCCTCGATGCCTGTTTCATGAATTGGGCTATTGTGGGGAGCCGTAATCTATATGGAGGTTAGCGTTACGCAGGTACCACGGGGCACCCGTCGCGTTTGGAGAGCCTGCAGGCGGTGCATAAGCGCGGGATTTGTCTGAGCGAATGCGACGCTGACGTACGTCATGATTGGGCGGATGCAGGTCGTGTACAATCTCACCTTATTACGAAGGGAGAGTTTGCTATGCTTGTTGAGAAGGGGGTGGAGGCGGCTCATAACAAAGTGGGCGCGATCGCGAACGGTTTTCACGTGTGCTTTGAATGACAGCTTCTTATCGTAACTCTTAAGTATTTGACCGAGTTCACCCAAGGGATTAGGCGGCCAAAGAGCGAGATGGGGGTGAGGTTTTGTGCCCTACAACTGGATAGGTTACTTCGTGTGAAGAATATCGTCGCGCTTTTGTCGGGATTGACTTCGATTCTCCATCTGCGAAACCACTCGCCTAGGCGTGTGGTGGCAGATTGGAGAGCTGCGGAAACTAATTTGGAGCTGCGCGCCGAATAATAGAGTGCAGTGTCGTCGGCAAAGAGGGTGAGATTCACTGACTGACACTTCGGAATATCGCTAGTGTACAGGGAGAATAGGAGGGGCGAGAGGACAGAGACTTGCGGGACTCCAGCTCTTACGGGGTGAGGGGAGGGGAGTGCGCCCTCGACTCGGTAGCGGAAAGAGCGATTCGACAAGAAGTCTCGAATGATGTGCACGAGACGATCAGGCACACCGAGATTGTACAGCTTGTAAGGTAAGCCGTTGTGCCAGACTTTGGCGAAAGCTTTTACCACATCGAAGCATACGGCGCCGGTGGACATGAAGCGGGGGCGATCGAAACCTTCGGAGATATACTCCACTATCCTTGCTCCATTATCCTTCTATCATTGCTGAACGCATGAATGCCTAGCTCTAAAGTAAAACTGTTCGTCGGGGAGGAGATTCTGGGACATGATGTAGTTAGTCTCTGAGGCGGGCATAGAGAGAGAGGCAGGCGGGTCTCGAACATTTATAGTTCTCCCGTCTCGCTCCTACATTGGTGTCGTCCCGCTCGCACACTATAAAAAATGCGAGCGGCATTCCAAATCTGACCGCTATCTAAGCAAGACCAGGAAGCTTAAGAAGTCATAACCAGGCATTTTCACTACAGGCCCAAATAGTCCTCATCAGTGCGGGTCGTCGAAGGTGAAACTGTGAAAATGAATTTTTCCGTAGGAGCGCAAAGCAGCCTAGAAATTGCAGCAAGGAAGGCACTGACCGGTCATGCGCGCGATCTCCTGGAGCGCCGCGAAGACCCTCCGGCAGCTGAGCTTGGGCGGCGCCAGCATGGTCCGCTGGCGGGCCCTCGCGCTCTGCGCCACGCGGCCCAGGTCGCCGGCCTTGTGCGCGGCCGCCTTCACCTGCGCCAGCGACTGCCCCGTGCACTGCCCGATGGCCTTCATCAGGTACGTCTCCGCTATGCCTGTGTTTGGCGTTTTCCACTTTATCGAACGTCACGGCATTTTACTCCACTAGTTTCTTGTCATTTTAATACAAACCTCGAACGCTCCGAAAGACCCCTTCGATCAGGCTGGCTGAAGACACAATTTCAAACCAAAAGCAAAGATCATCGAGCGCGTAGAAAAATCCGTAAGGTCTAGTGGTTCGTTCCATAGTTCAGTCGGAAGAGCGTTTGGCGTGGTATGCATGAAGACGCCTGTTCGAATCCGGCCGGATCGAAGGAGTTTTTCTTAGTGTTCGACCTAGGTAGTAATAACTGAAACTAATTTTAGTCTAGTCTAAAGCAAATTTCCATTAAACCGGCGAAACAGGATCTGCATCTAACGTCTAAACTGTAATCTGCGCCGACCTCACCTAATAGTTTATTTTAATGTTACCATAGTTTCCTTTGCATTTGTTGCACTTGTTTTTGATTAAGTGATAATGAAATAAATTTATCTCCATCCAGATTAGTATTTACCTAACTCCAATCCGTGGTAAGCGGGCGCCAGCTGATTGAGACACATGTAGACGCTGGGCAGCAGGTCGTCCGGTGTGAGCGCCATCACCGAGCGGAAATAGTTGGCGAGGGTCTCGACGATCTTGAGCCGAGACGACGTCTCCTCGATGGCCTCCAGGGTCTTCGCCAGGGCCAGGTACGGCACGGGCTGGCCCTCCGCCCAGCACGCGTCCGAGATCGGATGGTACTTCGGTTTTGCCGGGTTGTAGTCTTCCTCTGATACAATTGTTCTCTTTTTACACATTTAGGTTTCCTTACAATGACCGCGTTACACTGGATGCCAGACGGTAAGTTGCAGTCGTATAACTAACTTATTAGCAGGTGATTAGATTACTTTGTACAGTGTCAAGAGCAAGTCAAGCTTGACACTTAAGATTTAAATTCAACTCTATGCCGCTTACGATAAGAACAGTCCAAAGTAAAAAGTGTCAAGCATGATGTGCTCTTGATTGTTCAATATTATGGCAAAAAATATGGCTCTTTAATTAGCACCAATGTAAATACTTTCATTGTCAAATTATGAAATAATACACAATCATCATTTGTGTGCCATTTCCTTTCAAAATGTTGCATTTTTTTTTCAAACTCTGTTAATGCCTGACACTTACAAAAAAAAAGATTTGTTTTTAAAGGAAAAAGAACTTGAATCACCTCTTACTACCCCAGTCTCCTTCGCCTCACCCTCATTCCCATTGACTTCCTTCTTGACAAAGAAGCTCATCACATTCTTAGGTCCTTTTTTTGTCTCTGGGGTAGTCCTCTCTTCTTCCACTTTTGCTGCTCTCTGTGGAGACCTACTTTTCTTGACAGATTTTGTAACAACTTCAGTCTGTTCAGAACTTTCGGCTTTAATATCTTCACTTTCCTTTTTGATAACAGATTTTGCTTCATTTTTCTCAGACTTTTTATTTTTTGATTCCTCAGTCTCAACAAGAGAAGACTTCTCAATTTTAGCTTCTTCGGTTGACTTGTCTGTCTTAGGCTTAGTGAAATTTTCTACTTTTATTTTTTCTTGTTCTCCTACTTGTTCTGCACTTCCTTCTTCACTGCTAGAACTTTCTATTCTTAGTCTTTTTGATTTCTTAGACTGTAAAAAATATTTCCCTTAATATTAATTACATACTATTGGGTTTGCCTACACCTTCAGAACTGCACAAAAAAGAGTTGAAAACTATTATTGAAAAATGATAAATACGTAAAAGGAAAATTTTCGCATCAAATAAAGCATCAAAAATGCTGAATAAATTTTAAATTGTAATATTCGAATAAGGGGATGTTATTGAAATATTGATTTTGTTGAATATCAGGATGTTCTTCCACAATGATAATAATTTTTTACATTTGACAAGACTCGAACCTGTGTCTGTTTTTGCCAATCCAGGGCAATCGCTCTACCAACCGAGCTACGGGTCAGCAAACCTTACACATTTCTCTACGCATTAGTTACAGATCTTTCTTGTTGGCTTTAATGGCATTTTTGTACTAAACTATGTGTCAAAGATGGAATAGAAGAAAAAATCACATTAGCTAATTCATTTTATTCTGAAATGAAGTTATTAGTTTTGCACTTTGAACAAAACGTTTACAGTGCTATACATATAATGGTAACAAAGGCTGAAGCTGAACCTTGGATACTATACATAACTTGAATATTCTTTCCTGGTGACAATTCTAGTTCATCTGCCTCCATGGCCGAACGGTTACCATGCCTGACTGCCACACAGAGGTATCAGGTTCGATTCCCGGGTAGAAGGCGAGTTGCGGACACCATACCATACCTCATATATCCAAAAATAAAATGTACTAATTACATTTAACAAGTGTGTGTTATAGCGACTCATCTGAAGAACTGAGTCAGTTGTGATTATATAGCGAAAAGCGGATAAGTACGTTACGAGAATAATTTCGTTATTCAAACTTAGGCCTAAGTAAGGGTGTTTTGAGGATTTATTATATCTTATTTCGTTTCGGAAATTTTTTTTTTTTTTTTTATTATAATCAAATAACAGTCAATCTGACATCCACAGCGATTGAAGAACAAACGAAATGTACTGTGGTCCTGAGAACAAGTAGTCTTACACATAGATCTTTGTTCTACGGACGAGTCGATATAGTATATGGGGTGTACACTTTTTTTAATGAGATCAACAAGTCGCCCACCTGGTGGTAATTGACATGCCTGTCCATAACAGTTGCAGTACCCCTCATTGCTTGAAATCACATAGATCTGAGGGGCACTGCCACTGCGCCCGTCACCCTGAGACTTAAGTTAACAAGTCCCATGTGCCTGTAATTTCACCAGCAAAACTTCACTTATTTGGGATATATGGCAAAGAGAGGGCAGAAAGTGCAGACTCTGCCACAAAGCAGATGAAACTACTCTGCACCTCATTACTCACGGCTAACCCTTGATGGGTAAAACAAAATCCACATTGCGAAGCCACAACCAGAGAACATCAGAATAGTCAAAGTCAGGAAAATCCTTGAGATGCTCAACACTACTGGTCATGGTTTTGAATAGTGACTAGTGGTGACCAGAACAGATCAATTAATGGTTGCAGTGATGAAGGGCTGCACAGGTCTTGAATGAAGCCGCCCTAATAACAATAGGTTGGGTGTACGTGCATATCGAACAGTATGTATGTACTAAGAGCAATCAATCATTTCTGACAAGAAATTGAGCCAAAATGAGCTTTTTACATGTGTAGAATGTAGTACAATGCTCACAGTTTCAGAGTTGAATGGAGAACATTTCCGTTTGATGGACTTGGGGGAGTCCTGCTCACTGTGGTTGCTTTCCAGCCGCTGTCCATTGGATGTTTGCTGAAGCACAAATTCACAAATCATATTTATTTGACATTTCAACAGGGTTCAAAAGTCTTAAATAAGTACAGTTTAAATAAATTTATTATCTGTACAAGCATAAAATTGATGGCCTAACTATGACCTAATGTAAAAACTTTGCAATTTTATAAATTGTGAAATAAAATTATATAAAACAAGTGAGACATACCATTTCATTCTCATTAAGTCTATACAACCTCAAATGGCTTTAGTTGATCCCGCATAATAATGAAAGTGTTGTATCAATCACTTTGGAAAGAATATATAGTAAAATTAAGGATATAAACTGATTACTATATGGTGTGAAAATACAATTCCTAAATCAATCCCACATTGATCAAAATTTTACAAGAAAATTGCTGTATTCAATACATACTTTACTTTTTACTTGGTTTCAGTTTCATTTGTAAAAAATAAATTCTGAAATAAAACTAGTATCCCTGCCGCTCCATCTAAGCAAATGGACTGTATTAGTACAGGAGAAGTAAAGGAAAAATTTGAATTCAAGCTGAAATGCTATTGACTCTTAATAGCAGACAAGTTGTCAAGTTGCTCAAAGATGTTCATTAGACTTTACGAAGCAGTCATCATTATTATAAAGTGATAAGCAGAGGTAGGAATAAGCAGAATACATTTATTTACCAATAAACACAAAGGGCGGATAATACCTCCCTCTGAAACCCGAGAATAAATAAAATTAAAAGGCAAAGAATATATTCAAAACATATTTTTTGTTACAATTACAAAACTTTATTTCATGTAAATACACTAGTTACAATATTAATTATTTATTACATAAAAAACATGGCAGAGCAAAATACGATTCCGGGAGTTCAGAGGCATGTATATCACTTGCTTAAAGTTGAGGTAAATATACTTTTACAAGGCCTGTGAGTGTGATTTTGCAAGTTCTTACTTCATCATGGTTTTCCAAATTGACTTCCGCCGCTTTCTTTGGCGTCATTTTAAAAAACGACGTTATACTTTTCTGAGACATATTGTTGGCTCCAAACGTGTGCAAATTGCAGACAAATGATCGTGTACAAAAACTATAACATATCTGTGTAGGAACGGTGGTAAATAAAGAATGCTTTTTCACATGTAAACCTATTCTACAATGCGTAACCACTCTTCGAAAACTATTCATAAGTTTTATTCAATGGCTTACCAGTTGCCGCTTAGGACAACCTACAATTGTACCTTTTACAAATAAAATAAATAAGATTCACGATAACAATTTGACAGTACTGCGCGGGAATTCTTGTTTGGTTTTTACTTTACATTATTACCATAGATAATATTACTGCTTTCAAGTGAGTAGGGAGATGCATCTAGCGATTTCTTGTATCGATTCAACATGAATTCAAAATTGAAACAAAAACCTCTTAAAACCTTTTAAAAACGTCTTATTATTTTTTTATAGTTAGTCACTAAATAAGTGTTGATAATTGTTTATTCATCATTGAAGCAAGATCTATTACAGACAAATTCGGACACTATTTAGCTTATCCGCACTGTTTATTACTAATCATTATTTATAGATGTAGTTTATTTATTTTTTGTCGTACCAAATTGTTGTGATTAGTGGCGTGTGTGCTGTAGGCCAGTTTTATAAAAACTGTTGTTTCGTCAAGTACAGAAACGAAAAATAACGAGGAGACAATAATAATTATTGTTTCCTATTAGTTTTCCGTTCCTGGGTTTAAAATTTCAACAGGGTTTAAGATTTTCTGTGAATAAAAATGTCATATAATGATGTCCAAACTACTTGGACATCGTGTCATTTTTGTGAAGTTCGTAACAAAATTAAATGATCTCTTGGCTTCCTTCACTAGCAAAAATATTCATGCAATCCTTATATCGGAGACGTGGCATAAACCTTCACTACCGTCTACTCAGTACCCTTTACCAGGTTTTAGACTCATTCGTAATGATCGAGCCTATACCATCGGATTCCAGGGTGATGAGGCTGGTTGATGGAGGTGGCGTAGCGATTTATCTGCGATGCGATATTGACTGCGAGATCGTGACACAGTCGGTGACGAGCGCGGACTCACCTGAATATCTCTTTTTGGAAGTCACTCTGCACCATACTAGGGCCCTAATGGGAGTTTTCTACAGTCTTCACCTAAGAGTTGAGTACTTTGAGTATTTGGAGTCGGTACTGGCTGATCTACGTACCCGCTATGAGCATATTATACTCATGGGTGACTTTAATACCTGTCTTGTTAAGAATGACTGTCGATCGAGAAGGTTGCTTTCAGTCCTCCACTCACTTGATCTAAATTGTCTCGAGATATGTCCCACTAATTTTCCGCATAATGGTCGACCTTCCCTTTTGGATCTGATCGTCACTTCTTCTCCTGAGCTTCTTGATTCACATGGACAGTTTAATGCAGCTGCCATTTCTACCCATTACTTAATTTATGCTGCAATTAAAATTCGTCCACCTAAGCGCAGACATAAAACCATGATACTAGGCAATTATGGCAAAATTGATAATAATGCCCTTTATGAAGATGTGCTGAATTCCGCTTCAAGTAGTCAGAGTCAAACATTGCCCCGCTCCTTGGCTCACGCCAGATATTAAGGAATCTTGGACAGGCGCAACCGGGCTCGTATCAAATTGCGGAGGAATCCCACCGAAACCAACAGTATTTCTTACATCGGGTTACATATCCGCTGCAACAAGCTTTGCAGGAGCGCCAGGCGTAAACATTTTCACTCCACTATGGACGCTTGTCCGCCTACTAAGCTGTGGAATTATTTGAGGTCATGTCTTTCCCTCCAATGTCGATCTTAACGCGTTAAACAACTATTTTGCGTCTTCCCCAATGTGTTTAGATTCTACTTTTAATTCTAAAACGTTATCTACACTTTCCGGTGCACCTTGTCTTGCTTCAGCCTCTTTTGACTTTGGTAGGGTTACGGCAGCAGATGTGTTGAAAATACTTAAGTCTACGAAGTACTACGTACTACGAAGGCCGTTGGTAATGACGGCTTGAGACTTGATATGATCACCTCAATAAGGGATCTGGTGGCTTCTATCTTAGCTTATATCCTTAGTTTTTCGCTTTCCAGTGGTGCGTTTCCCACTGGATGGAAACAAGCCCACGTGATTCCTCTCCCTAAAAAAATCAAACCCTTTCTTCCATTACCGTCCTATCTCCAAACTCCCTATATAATCCAAAATCCTAGAGCACTATGTTCACAATCGGCTCACTAACCACCTCCTACTCTGTTCGCACTGTTGATTTTGATTTGTTACTGCTGTACTCAAAACCATAAATCTGCCTCCCATAGCGGTATTCTGGTTCCATTCGTATCTGTTTGGTCGTTCTCAGCTCGTTAAGACCGGTGACAAGCGTTCGAACTGGTGTAGCCTTACGGCTGGCGTTCTGCATGGTGAGGTTTTATCTCCTATACTTTTTTCTGTCTTTATCGGTAAAATTACATTTTCGTTCACTTCTTCTGTCCACCTCTATGCCGATGACCTTCAAATATATACTGCAGCCCGCCTTGAGGATGTAGTTTCTGCTGTCGGCACATTAAATGCCGACCTACAAACAGTTTCCGTATGGGCAAAGAACTACGGACTTCTTTTAAATGCACAAAACTCCCAAGCCATAATTATTGGCAGTCGCCATTCCATCTCCAGAATCTATGGTGGTGTCCAATTTGGTTCTGAACGATTTCATTATTTCTTTTTCCTCTTCAGTAGAAAGTTTGGGCATTATAATGGATCAGACACTTTCTTGGTCGAAGCAAGTCGCTGATGTCAGTCGTAAAATCTTTGCATCACTTCACTCCTTCAAACGGCTGCAGTACTTTCTTCCTCTCTCCATCAAATTTATGCTCATACACACTCTTCTTCTACCTCTTTTGGACCTCGCCTACCTTGTTCTTTCGGAGGAACTTCTTAACAAGTTGGAGCGGCTTTAAAACCAGTAAATTAGATTTGTGTTCGGCTTGAAAAAGTACGATCACACTTCCGGGTTCAGAGCTGAAGTTGCTGCCTATCCGTCTCCGTAGAAATGCCCACGTTTTATGTTTCCTATATAAAATCCTTTTCCATCACTCTTTTCCTAGCTATCTTCGTGAGCGTTTCCAATACCGCCAGGCTATGGATGACCGCTTGTGTTCCGGTACTAATTTGTCCTTCGTCATTCCACAACACAGTTCACAAAAGTATTCGGAATCGTTCATAGTGAACTCTACTCGTATGTGGAACCTTGCTCCCAGGGTCACCCTCGGTTCGGATATTCAGAGGTGCCCTTTTGAAATCTTGGGATTATTCAGACTTCTCATGTTAGAGCTTACAAAATATTTATTTACATTTCACATATTTAGTTATAGTCTTATTTTATACATTCATTCTATTATATATTTTATATGTATTAGTGTATCATCATTTATTTAATATTATGTATTCGAGTGTACTTTTGATATAATAAATTTATTCTTCTATTTAATGATTTATTAGATTTTATTGCCGACCCAACAACTAACTTTCCTTTCAATTATTCAAAGATTAGCTGGAAGAAATCCCTTTATCGGGTAAGCTCGCCTTTGTATAATAACATTCTATTTCTTTGTTAATTTGTAAATTGTGTGTGTTGTACAATAAAGTGTTTACATACATACATATAAAATAATCAATGATGATCCCTGTGACAATTAATAAAAATTCACAAAATATGACCTTGTAACAACGTGCACTAATTTACGCATTTCATAAATTATTATGATAAGCCTTGCTTTAATATAAATAGGTTTTCTGTAATTAAAAACATTAAACAAACATCAGAATAACACAAAATTAACTATTTATAATATTCATTAATTAATTAATATTAAAATTAAATGTGATGTCCGTGTTATTTATTATTATTTTTTGGATCGATTCAGAGTCATAAACGTTCACCACAACGATTCAAAAAATCGATTCAAAGCAAAGTGTTACGAATATTCACGTAAATGTGATATCACTAGAGTTGTCGAAGGCAAATTTGGTGTGTGTGTGTATCCAAATCTTGGTTGGATGTGTACAATAATTTTCTTTGCCAATGAAAAGTAATTTTCTAGTAATTGTTGTTATTCTTTTTAATTAAGCGCTTATAAAAGTGGTCTTAAAATTAAATTTTAAAAAACAGTAACAACGTATAAAGTTTAAAATATATTATTTTAATTGTATGATAAGGATGGAGGAGTGCTTTTAGCAAGAACATATTAAAATCAAATACTTTGACTAAAAATTCAGAACTTATTTTGCAAAGATGGCGCCCCCTAGTTGAACTGTCAATTTTACGCGTGTCGTCCATGTTTCGAAAGTGGTGTGTGACTTATTTTTGTGTTGTGTTCATTTTCAATGCAATTTTATAAATGTGAAATGCTACAGCATGTGTCATTCCATATAGTAGAACCTTGCTCCGGCTGAATGGATCCCGCCGTCGCGTGGTATCAGCCCGAGCAGGAAGGACCAGCGAAGCGCCTGTGGCTTCGGATTTGGGAAACTCAAAGTGAAATAGAGAAAATGAACTTAAAAAATTTAGAAAATGCTAACCCTAATGTAAATAAAGGACAAGACTTTATACCAACAAATGACGTGAACGGTGAAAATAGGAACAATAATAACTACTTTAATCCCGCGAGGAGGAAAGTGAACGATAACCGCGCATCGACGTTTAACTTGAACAAAAATCATGACGCCCTCATAGGAGAGTACGGCGGGTGTCCGTGGAGGAGGCCCGACCATGTATACAAGCCAGGAATTCTGGGGTAAGTTCTGTTTTTTATCCATGTCCTAGCAATGCGCTCCGTCACAGCTGTCAACGTGCTTAGCGCGTTGCTAGGGGCACTATTCCGACTGCACGACGAATAAAATATTTATGAAGTTTATTTAGAGTCGTTATTCGGTTTAAGCAAAATTTCTTGCATATGCAAAGATACAGTCAACTTAGAGCAACCTTTGCCCCAGTGTCAGAACATAACCAAACTTCTGATCTTGGTCGCGCAGCGCTGTTTCAGCACATTTTATCTTCATGCCTCACTTGCGTAGTGCAAAAAAACATATGAGATGGCGCAATGTTTATATTCCTCCAGGTATTGATGCAAGGTCCTGACCTTATTTGACCCATTTATTAGTACTGTTAGATCATTCCTGTAGCTGATACTCTGATTAAAGTCCAATGTTCCACATTGGGTAGTTATTTTTATATAGCAAGACACTTGTTAATGTGGTTAATGAAATTGAGTTGTCAAATTAGATAAAGCTGTCCCATCTATGAAGCAGATAATATTTTTGGGGACATGCATACCATTGTAAGAATAGTAAGCTATGTAAAACAGTCACACACATTCGCCTTTTTGATTTTAATTATAATAACTAATGGTTTTAATTTGCAATTTGAAAAATGACTTTGTGTGTTTGTACTTTCAAATGTGGCTGGCTGAGCCTGCTTACATTACTCTGATTCCTGCTGTTGTACAAGGTCAAATGATAGGGCGAAAAGATTCACTTGGATTTCAAACAAGTTGAGTTTAATGTAAACATTTTAAGATAAGACATGTGTATTTGCAAGCACACTGGTAGAACATTTTTAAAATTGTTGTCAACAAAGAATGTAAAATTGAAACTGAATTTTTACATGTTTGTATTAAGTTGATTCAAAATTTATTTTATGATCAGCATTTTCAGTGACAAAGATTTTCTGTCTCTTTAAAACCCATGAACAAAAAGACCAAAATATGCAGTTATTTAGTATTAAAATACATAATTCTGTTTAAGTCCACTATTATAAATTGTTGATTAACTGTATGGACAGTTACATAATAAAAAATAGTCCACAAATTGCAAATTTTCACCATTGTATACTCAGACACATCTCTGAGCCACAAGCTGATAGTGAGTGGTCAGTCCCACTGAATTGTACTATGTCCAAGGTTGTTGACACATCACTTTAGCCACTGGCCCTGTGCCAGCCTCCCACGTTCCTCAAAATAGGACTCTTAATTGCTGAGCTCTGTGCTTCTCATTACAATTATTGATGGTACACTAGATATGCCGTACCTACATCTTAAGTGCAGCATTCGTCATAGTTATGCATTGTTGTCATTATTACCAATAGTGTCGCTTCAAACCTTGTCCCAGTCAACTTTAATCATGATTATTCATACACAAGTATGCCCAGTTAATTTCAAATTAGTGAGTTATTTGTTGTAGCTGGAAAATAAACAACATTGACTAACATAGAGATAAATGTGTGGAAAATAAAGTTACACAATTAATCCTGTGGTTTATTTTGATTGAGGTGTAACATGAAGAAATTTTGTTTTGTTTTGTGACATAATTCACTATTATATACAGGTTGTCCCAGACCTCAACGTCAAGCGAGGTCGAGGCGAGAGGCCAGGTTATATCGGTTCTGGTAAAAATAAAATAAATATCCATGTCACTTATTTAATTGATAATAGGCATATTTTTGAAAATGTTCAAAATCAACACTCTATAGTCCATTTGTTTAGGTATTTAACTAAATGTAAACAATCTTGAGATGTCTATTTAATAAAATATACATTTATAAAATGATTTTTACTTACCTTCAAATACAAAATACAAATATTTCGCTGCATTTGAAATTGCATGCCTATTTTTGTACCTATTTATTTGTAAAGCATATATGTATTTCAATAAAAAGATGTATCAAGATTGTTTACATTTACTTAAGTACCTAAACAAATGGACTATAGTCCACATCTTTAGGTACTGTCATCACAAATTTGCAAATTTTGCAGTTGTTTATTTTTTGACGTAATCTTAAATAGCCTTACTATTTGTCGCAGTCACAAATCAATTCATGAATGTTGTCAGGTTAGAAAAAAAAGTTTCATGGTTTAAAACAATTACATCACCTAACTTTGATACTTCATATTCTAAAAAAAACGTACTACTCTACTCTGGGCAAGTTATTTGAAAAGATGGCCCTTTTAGTCAAGATTTCACAATGGTGCAATACTTGCCACTTTTCATTCTATAAAAAATATTATTGCTTATTTTGTTCTAAAAGGACCACAGTTCAAAAAATCTATACTATGAGAAAAGTAGTAATTTTGAATAGTAAAGTCGATCTTTGAGATCAGCTTTATAATTGTGTATGATAGTATGACATAGTTAGTAATGCTGAACGACATGAATTAGAGTTGGAAAAATTTATTACCATTTTTTATTCCATAAAAAATTTAATTGCAAATTTTTTTGCAAAAGGACCTCATCGAAAAAAGGAATCCTAAAACAAATGTAAGTGGGTCAAATGAATAATTAGTTGATTGTTGTATTTTAAAATTTAAAGAAAATTATTAAATTTTAATAAAAATGAATTATTTTAGTACTTTTATTGCATCATTTTTTTGTATAAAGCTAAAGTAAATGCTCATATTGTTTGCCTTCGGCACAAATATAGGCTCTGTATCGCCTCAAAAAATAGTATGAATCTTTTTGCATTCATTTCTTTCTATTTTGGGGCACAGTTCGGCTTGTATAATATTATGCAGCCCCAGTAAAGAAAGGAAAGGGTTCAAGGTCTCTCAGGGACTATTCATCTCACTCTATTACATCTTTCCGTCACACTTACATTATGGTAAAGCCAAACTTTTTAAACTCTTCGTCCTGTCATTATCCCATGCTAGGTGGGGTCGGCACAACATGTATTTTTCTTCCACTCTCGCCTATCAACTGTCATTTTTATACTCACACCTTTCTTATCCATGTCATTTTTCACAAATTTTATAAAAAAAATAAACAACTGCAAAATTTGCAAATTTGTAATGAATGACAGTACCCAAAGACGTGGTCTAGGTGTCGGTTTTCAATAATATGCCTATTATCACTTGATTAAGTGACATGGATTTCTTATTTCATTTTTACCAAAATTTATATAACCTTGCCTCTCGCCCGGTGCCCGCTTGACGTTTACTTTCGGGACATCTTGCATAAAACACTGTAGAATGCAAGTAATTTACAAGTGCACATGTACTTCTCACACTGTGAACTGTACAATCTATAATAATAATATATATGTAATAGATCTCTACTAAATACAAAAGACTACTAAAAGATCTATACTAAAATAGATCCGTCTCATTTGCCAGATCGACATTAAAGTCTTTGATTAATAAATTTATTATGAGTGCATAAAAAACTATTTATTTATTATGCATGATGTAAGAGTTGTCAAAAATTTAACTTTAAATTTAACCCTGCTGGAGTTATAACTCAAAATTGTTATTAAATACTAATAATTTACTTGAGAGGGTCTTTTCATCATTTGACGGTTTAGTCTTCAGGAAAAGGCCAAAATAAAATTGATTGTGGTGGGTAATGTTTTTAAACTGCACTATTACGAAATCACTAGATTATTGCGACGGAAGTGGCCGTCGCACTACCTACCGAGCGTCAAAAATATATGTACATTTATAACAGATGGTCAAAATCCATTTAGATTTCTAGTGGAAATACTACGTTGACGATCGGCGCAGATTTTGACGGGAAGTGGCCGCATACACGATGCTATCGTGTTTTAAGACGGAATTTATCGAAAAATACATTTACTAACTATTCAAAATCCACCTACATTGCTGTTACTTTGTTTTCGATTTAGCGCCAAATATTCCGTTTCATATTTTCTTAGTAAGATTTAGGATGAAATCCATCTCAAGTGCACAGTCAATGTTAAGATATTACTTAAATCAACTGTATTAAATAAATATGTATAACTCGAACGCATATCAAAAGTAACTCATCCATTACCCGTCATACGAGAGCTGTGAAAATTTCAGGTTTTAAAACGTCATTCAGCTTTGATACTTACAATCGTTTTTAGTTCTAGTCAATCAAGATCCTGATTTTTTAAATATAATTTCAAGTGACGGGACGAACAAGTCGTGCGCCTCGTGGTAAGCGACACGCCTATTCGTAACACTTGCAGTGCCACACAGAGCTTTAAATCGCTAAAATCCTATGGGCACTGCCATTGCGCCCGTCACCTTGAGACATAAGTTGTGAAGTCCCATTTCATGTTCATTGCTAATAGGTACAGAATGCAATGTAATTACACTAACACAGCTTCAGGCACAGTAACCCACATATAAGCCGCCTGCGAGTTGAGTCAACCGCCTGCGTCGCTGCGTATGCGCCGCACCGCCTTTGTCGCTGTCGACGCCGAGCGCTAAATTTAGCCGCGTCGCTGTGCCGGCCAAAACACTGCACCAATGTTTTACTACTAACAAACATATAGTAGATTTGATAATAATCATGTTCCTCTACATTCTTAGTCTCTTAACCCTCAAGTCAACGAAGTAATGGATAAAATAAGCTCCTCCTCGCAGCATCGAAACAACCTGCAGTAGGCAAAACCGGTCCAGTACAAAACAACATTGCGACATCAATGTTGGAATATTAATTTGCGACGAAGAAAGAATCTTCTCGTCAAACAACGCCCGCGCCCAGCTATGGTACATATGAGGGTTGATAAAATACGCTACACGGAAGAATCAGAGAGGGGATCATTGGCTCGACGATTCAACAAGCGTGCAAGAAAGGAGAGCGCGCAGCTCCGAGCGGCCTTGTCAATGGCAGTCAGTGCCCCCGGTGCTACAACTCGCTGTACTATTGTAAAGCCGCACTGTAGCTCTCAGCGTCCAATACGTCAACGTCAGTATGTCAACGTATAAACTCGTTACTTCAACGTTTCTGGTTGAGGGCGCGGCGCTGTCGATATCGAAAAGTGTATTCACCATAACATACTCTACGTAAATTGTGTATAATTAAGTCTTACTTCATTCATCTAAATTAGCCCTTATCTAAATAGCGGTGTTGTAAAATGGCTAAACGGGTAAAACACTAGCTGCTCAGGTTGTGAGTAGAGTCTAAAAGAGCAAGATACGACTGAATCGAGGTCACATGAGATTACAGAGTCGACTAGTTAGAACGACTCGTTACGCGTTGCATTACTCATTCCGGTGGCGTGCTTAAGAAGTCAGAAAAATGCATAATGAATGACGCATGCATTGTGGCGTACAACCCTGACAACCTGAATAACTGTTAAATGATACGTAATTGGTCCTGGTTTTTCTAGATATTGTATTACTGTCCAGCACTTTGGGGAAACGGACAGTTCCCCATTTAGGAATCTTAAGATCTAAAATTAGCTAAGTTTTTTGGTTCGTTTAATTTGCCTTTGTAGGTTTACAAGAGTAACGGGTCTACTTCCGAAGGCCGAATCTTACATTCCTAGACTTGCAAGGCGAGCGTGTCGAGCCACGTGCTCGCCAGCCAAACATTCGTATCGCAGCCAATCGTTTCACATGACCATTGTTACTTGTCATAGTCCACATTCCTTCCATTAGTCTCACTTATTTAGTACATACCATACGTGTTTCGAACACACGCTAATGCGCAATTCAAATGTGCCAGTGTGTTAAGTACACGGAACAACTTAAAAGGTTGATTTTCAAGTGGATTAGAAATGCCAGGGCTCCTCAAATGTTGAGGTCTTTTATAAATTCATAATTGCATGTTAATACAAAAAGGTCAAGAGGCGACATGTCAAATGTCATTTGATCACGCCCAAGAACGATTTAGAGAGATTATGCAATTAGTGATTAGTGCTGAGCGTAGCTGGTGTACGCCTGAGTGACGATGGACGCGGACGGCGAGAGGCGTTTGCTTGCGACTGGAGTGTCGCGGAACTGAATGAGTACTTGAAAATGCGCTGTTACATAACGCGCGTAGTAAATGAACGTAGTTAGAAACATTGTATGCAACAGGCACATCGCTCTTGGCTATAAACAAATACGGTGTTGGTACACTACTTGGTAGAAAATTGATAAATACGTGACTATAAGCAAATATAAAGTAAAATGCATAAACTTCTTCTTCTTACATAAACGCTACAATTGATTCCACAACTACGTACATGACAATAATTGATGATTGAAAAAAATGAGAATTCTCATACTCCATACTTAAAAATAAAATAAATAGTAATTGAAATTACGTAAAAAATACATTTATTGCAAAAGCGTTTACACTTCCGGACACATAATTCGAGCCACCACGCATTTTCAGTATTAAGTGCCCTAAGCTTAAACAATGTTTGAGTGATATTATGCAATTTTGAAACTAATATACTAAACGTCTTTTCCATAAGTCCTTGTTGGCAATGTGGATTTGCAAAACCGGGGGAAAACTTTTTTTTCGATGATAACGCTATTTTTGTATTCTAGCCCTTTACGACAAAAATGCGAGCTGGCTCGAATTATGTGTCCGGGAGTATATTTCCTGAGAGAATAACTTCTTTTATTGAGTGTACGTGTTCTTCCACGCAGGTTACACGAAGAGATCGAGCACTTCTACATGTACATGTCGCCGTCGGAGACGGAGCACCTCGTGCGCACGACTGTGGTGAACCGAATCCGCAGCGCCATCCTGTCGCTGTGGCCGCAAGCGCGCGTCGAGGTGTTCGGTTCCTTCCGCACTGGACTCTACCTGCCCACCAGTGACATTGACCTCGTCGTTATAGGTCAGTAAAGTTTTGAGTTTCACAGACGGCTACAATATTACGAATGCTTCTGAAGTAATTATTGAGAATAGATGCAAGGTCTAAGTGATAGTCGTAATGGCGCTAAGAACAGTTGCGTACAGTAGGTTTTAGCTAGGTGTATATTACAGCAATTTGGTACTGTTGGACTTATATCTTATTCGGGTATATTGTAACGAAAACACTTCAGTAATCTTAACAAGTGCTGTTTGTGTTCACATCCGGTGCATTGTGTCAAGAATCGTTATCGTTGAGTCTTAATAACTTGGCCGCTGAGTTGTAACACATGTGACGTCATCACATCAGGTTACGGCTTAGCACTATAATTACGCGCCGCACTAGCGATTGTCCACCGCGCTACGTCGATCGGGCACCGCGGCATCGGCACCGCGGCATCGGCACCGCGGCATCGGCACCGCGCCGCATGTGGCAAGGTGTTTGCAAACGAGTGGTGAGTAGTCCGCCGTTGCCACTGCCGTTAAAGTTAACGGGTTTCTGCCGTGTATTATGATAGTATCCTCCTTAGATAGGATCCTTCTTAACCACAGGACACACTTGCTTATAAGGGGAGCTGATGTTATATAACTGGAAGGCACGTAACGTCGCCGCTCGTAAACTGCACCGCATGACGCCGGCGGTCGATGTAAATCGTGCGTCATCCCGCCGAACATGACGTTGGGACGTCCGGTGCCAATTTCTGATTGCAATAATTGCAGATCACTTTCCCGTACTGTTATGGGGCGGTAGAGCTCCTAAAAATCAATTCAGATGTAGGTATTACAGTCGTATCGAGATGCAAAAAGTACTTGTTTCCGTTTTGTTCGGATATGGTGTCACGTGGTCCGATAAAGTAGAGCGCATAATCCGGTTCCCGCGGTGCGGGCTGCGGCGGCCATCAGCTGCGGGAGTGGAGGCCTTGGGCACACTTGCGATAACAGCCTCAAGTTGTTTTCTTGTTTTTGGTCAGATGAACTGGTTAGAAAGAATTATTAATTACAAATATTCCAAAACTAATTATACCGCTTATGGCCACCAACGTGGTACAGGCTGACATGCCGGTGAAGGCATTTGTTAAAATTGAGAAGTTCATACCTCTACCAGAAATGAATACCATTTGCCGCCTTCGAAGCAACATACCCATAGAACAACATAGTCATTTGTCATTACACCATCGCACATTTTCTTCAATATGTATATCACGGTTTTATTACTGTTACTAACTATCATTATTGTACACGCGGGTACCGGTACTTTTGTTGCAAAGTGTTTACATATATTTAGTGCTATTTTATTGGCAAAAAATATTATGGTGCGTTTGGTGACTAGTACTCATCTATTTCCAGTCTCCGTGAACAGATGAGTACTAGCAACAAGATGTTGACAATTAGTTCGAGTTGCGTCGACGACGCGACGTTGGGTTTCGCACGGCCAAGGGCTCTCAATGGGAATTGCGCCGTTTAATTGACGCGGTGACGATTAATTGAGCCAGAATCCGAAGAAGAAGTACCGACTTCCTTCTTTTTGTAAGTAGGACCTCCTGTTTGTAACTCCTGGGGGAGTTAGTTAAACAATAGTTGGTATGGTGCTAGGAGTGAGGCGACTCTTGGTCGGGATTTACCCCGCCCGAGCATTACCTCTATTGACCTCAGGACGTGTGTTTTATGTAATGTAATGCTAATCGAAATATGTAATCGCTTTATCAGAGTTACCATTCGACGTGATATCAAGGGCGTTCGTATTGCGAATATTGCGCAATTGCTAATGTTTGTTTTGTTTACCTGCGCCGGCGCCTGCAGCGACGACGCGGGGCGCGGTAATCTCGCGCTATTTTGACGCTCCTTATCTGTTATTTTACTACGCATATTATTTGTAAATTCGTTGGGGCAACCGCGCTTTCGCGGACTGCAGGCAACTTTTATTAAACGGGAGCAGTAACGTTTGTACAGTTTTTGTTCACCTGCTGTCTGATTTTATAGACGCGAGCCCAACGTTACTTCTTTAATGACGGATGATACACTTCCTTCCACTACACATTGATGCTAATTGCCAGAAAGTGGCACCAATTACCTAGTCTCAAACCAAGGAATTCCCTAAACTGTTAACCCCAAAGTCACCACATGCCGTTGCGTAACAATGAGTAAAGGCGTCACACAATCATAATAACAAAATGTGAATAATCTGTAGAGTGCAACAAATTGTTACACCTATTAGTGGCGCGGAGTTTATTTTTTATCGCAGTCGCCTTGCCAACACACCACTTTACGATCTACTGCTGGTGACGCGTTTCTTCAATAATAAGTTAGCATGCCTTGCACAATGCCTTTTGAGGCTTCACACAAAAAAGGATTAAGATAGGAAACTTCGCAAATGGTCGAAGAGCTTGCGTGGGTAAGGTCGCAGTTGGCCGAACGCTCAACATGGGCAGTTGTTACCAAGTGGTAATGTGTGTGTCCAGCAGTCCGTCGCGCGGTGCGATGCGACACAGCCAACATTACATATTGCAGTCAACTCAATGCACAGGCTTGAATTAAAACAGGCCAGTCGAGGAATTCCCTCGTGATCGATTGTTAAGCGGCTGCGGCATGACTCAATGTCATGCGGGCGTAATATCACACGCGCAGACCGGCTCGGTCGCGGCGACGCCGCCGGCGCCGGCGCGCGACTCTCTTTTGTCAATAGCTTAACACGTTACACGTTAGCTCCGTGCCCGTACATACGAGAGTTAAGAGTTCGCGCAGTCGCACCGAGTCTGTATTTACGTTGCACTCGCGAATGGCGACCGGCGAAGGGTACACGTCTGGATATTAACTGCTAATCGCCAAAAACAAAACTGCGTGTGGACGACGCGACCGCGATGCAGCCTGTTATAATCAACTGCTGAAAAAGGGACCACTTTTAGGGATTTGGGACGCAAACATGCAGCTTAAAAAAAGGGAGCCTTTCATAGCTAGGATTCATTTTATATTTGCGGTTTTTATATTTAACGCGAATACTGCATACACTGATTAGTAACCGGCCAAAGCACATTATCTTAAGATACATTTCTTCGAAAATTGCATAACGTAACACAAATAAAGTGTTGTGGCGTTTAGAATTCGACGCACCGCTGTGCAAGAATCGCGACTCGTAGGTCGGATGTCGTGGTAATGGAATGGAGTCGTTAGCGGCATGAAGGTACATCACAATATAATGACTTGGTAACAATGATAATATCATATAAAACGTAGGCCACGGCGGCACACCGCAGCGCCGGCGGCTGCGACATTTCAGCCAGTATGTTTACTCAGGTGTCGCGAAGAATTTCAGTTTTAATGGCGTTTAATATATTTAATTATTTGCTTCATTGACAAACAGACATGCATTGTTATTACTTATTAGCAACGACTGCCCGGTTTATTTGATCTGCAGACGACTGCGGATTCGTATTTATTTCTTGTTTTTATGCCTGTCTATGGATTTAATTGAAAATGCGCATTTTGCATTGCAGGACAGTGGGAGAAGCTGCCGCTGTGGACGCTGGAGCGCGAGTTAGTGGTGCAGGATATAGCAGAGAAGGAGAGCATCAAGGTGCTGGAGAAGGCCACCGTGCCCATCGTCAAGATGACCGACAAGTACTCTGACGTCAAGGCGAGTACACACGCACCAATCTAAACAACTATAAACTGATTTTTAACAATGGGAACCTGGGTTCCTGTAAACATAGCTAAGCTAATGTACACTGTCCTTCCAATTCGTGAAGTTCGAGGATTTTATTGAATCTTATCGCTGGAATTCGCTTTAATTTTGAATTAGGAATTCAAAATTCAATAAACTTGTAGCATTTCAGTGTTTTTCATGAAACGAGTGACAGCGTGGTTACGGTTGATATAAACGGATTAACAAGAGTGAATTTACTTGTGTGGCTGCAGGTGGACATCTCTTTCAACATGAGCAGTGGCGTCAAGAGCGCAGAGCTCATCAAGCAGTTCAAAGTGAGTATCCAACGAAGGATATGCTTTTTATTCATATACAACCAACCGGTAGACGAGCAGTGGTGGGCTTACCGTACAGTAGGTAGAAAATTTTTCATCGACGACCGACCATCGATTACCGTTAACTACCGTGTCGTGTTGTCTGTAGGAGCAGTACCCTTACCTGTCCCGCCTGGTGATGGTGCTGAAGCAGTTCCTTTTGCAGCGTGACCTCAACGAAGTTTTCACCGGTGGCATCTCCTCATACTCGCTCATCCTCATGTGCATCAGTTTCTTGCAGGTAGTCCCTATCACTTTACTACACTACTTTTGTAAACAGAATGTAAGAAATCGTATTCCAGAAAATTTTAAGAGGATGGGTCGACCAGACGACACTACCGCCTTTTGTATTCGACAGCCTTGTTGGCGTCTCTGTCGGGATTGATAGCGAGCGCGCGTGTGTGGGCGAGACATCTCTCGTTTCGTATTTCCGCCCTTACTAAATGTTAAGGCAGAATGAAAATTTGGCGGGATTTAAACGCACATTATTTGAGTATTTAATTGAAAAATCATTTTACACGTTAAAGGAATTTTGTTAACTTATTTCACATTAACTTATTTATTATTTATTATTGAGACGAACGTGACTGTACGACATTGATTTATTTACATTGATTATTATCTTAATTAAATTATTTTTGTTTTGATGTCCTAACTGTTGTAGATTTTAAGACTTGGTCCTGTGAAGGTGGAAGCCTATAATCAGTGGTTTATGACTATTTAATGATAATTATTAGTGTTATTTTATTATTATTATTTCGAAGTATTGGACAAGTATAATTAATAATAATAGTATAATTCGGATGCCTTGATGGTACGTCATCTTTATTGTGCCTATGATGACGAAGAAAATGATTTGGTTTGATTTGATTTGTCGTTTATAGCTTCGAGAGTGTCCTTTAGTTTTTTTTAATAATATGAAGCGATGGCACTAACAAGTCGTGCGCCTGATTGTATGTAAGCTACACGCGTGTCCATAACAGTTGCAGTGCCACTCAGAGCTTGAAATCGCAAAGATCTGAGGGGCACTACCATTGCACCCGTCACCATAAGACATAACTTGACAAGACCCATGTGCCTGTAATTTCACCAGCACCCTTACCCTTCAAAACCGGAACACAGTAATGGTGACATCACTGCTTGGCGGCATGAATAGGTAAGGTGGCAGTACTTCCCACTTCTTCAACTTCGTTTAATAAAGAAATGTCAATCTGTTTAATTTTACACTACAAGTACAAATTAACTATATAAACCACGAGCCCTATACCCCACTTATGGTGGGGTCGGGCTCGGCCTGCGGCGCGTGGTCGGTTTCAGATTACGGGGTGTGCTTAACCTTGTGGGTGGCACACTGATTAGTACTAATCATGGCATTTTTTCCCTAAATACTTCTCTTTTTGGCATATCTTCCAAGAAAAAAGAATCGTAACAGAGAGACGGTCGAGATATAACAACGCTGTCAGTATCTTATTTCCACTACATCGGGAAGTATGCCTTACATTTTGAACAATTGTGAAATCTTGACTCATAATTTAGTCTCCGTATACTACCTACGTAAGGTGGCGTGCGGACGCTTCAAGCTTCGCCCTCCGTTAGACCTCGGCCTACGGCCTCGAAGACTACAGACCCCCGCATGCCAATTTTCAGCTGCATCGAAGCAAGTTTTTCTTCGGCCGCCATTTTGGATTCGCCATCTTAATGTTTTTTTACACAAGCAATTAACAGTGGTCACTGTTACCCTCTATGACATTCCTTCCAGCACTTTCTACCTATCTCTAATAGTTTCCGTGATAGAAGGCCTCGGAATTTGTATGGCGGCCATCTTATTTATTTGAATTTCGAACATTTTTTACTTTCTGCGGAAATTGACCAAGGTGTATCTCATAAAAGTGCACAAAAATCCCCCCCCATATATTATAGTTTTTGCAGGCCGTTGATCACTCGTTTACGTTTTCCACATTCAGGTCTCATATTTGATTCTTTGCTTTGGAGCCTATCCGCATACAACGGTATAAATATCTTTTTTCTACCATATCGGCAAGTATGCGTTCTATTTTTCTAAGTGAGTCAGGATTTGTAGCTTTATATTATATATAACCACAACAATGACCCTAGGTCGGTGTACTAAATTTCATTCAGTTCGATCTGTTAGTATTCATAATTATAACGAAACTTTTTCAGTTACTTCCCCGAAAAAAAAAAATCTCAATAAAATGCATCCTAAATAGGTTAATATATTGTCTTTTTAAACACACTAAAGTTTGAATTTTAGGTGTGTTTGATAAATTTGATTTGTTTGGGTGCCATATTGTTATGAACAAATTTTGTTGCTTTTTCCCAATTTTCTTGTACACGTATATCCGTGGCTTACACCCCGTATAATTGAATAAAATTTGCATTTCACAATGTCGCGACTTCAGCTGCATCCTCGGCCGGAGCGTCTGCGGCAGCCGCACAACCTGGGCGTGCTGCTGATCGAGTTCTTCGAGTTGTACGGGCGCAAGTTCAACTACGTCAAGACCGCCATCCGCGTCAAGAGCGGCGGCTGCTACGTCTCCAAAGACGAGATACAAAAGGTACCCGCGCCGTAGCAATACGCGCGCCGCCCCGACTCGCTCGTGGCTCAACCCGCATGTGCGTCGCAGGAGATGAACGACGGGCACCGGCCGTCGCTGCTGTGCATCGAGGACCCGCTGACGCCCGGCAACGACATCGGCCGTTCCAGCTACGGCGCGCTGCAGGTGAAGCAGGTACGGCGCCGCCCTCCCGCCCCGCGCCCGCGACCGCCCCCGCGACCGCCCCTACGTTGAGTGCCCGTGTGTGCAGGCGTTCGACTACGGCTACATAATCCTGCAGCAGGCCGTGGCGCCGCACAACGCGCTGCTGGCGCGCCACTCGGTGCTGGGCCGCGTGGTGCGCGTCACCGACCACGTGCTGCAGTACCGGCGCTGGGTGCGCGACACCTTCGAGCCCTACTTCTTCCCGCACCGCCTGCGCCTGCGCCCGCCGGAGCCGCGGCCGCAGCGCTCCAGTCCCGAGCCCGACCGGGAGCCCGAGCGGGGGCCGGACCGGAGGCCCGAGCGGGGGCCCGAGCCGGAGCCCGACGCCGAGCCCTCCGACAGCGATCGGGTCGGTTCCTTCACTTGCCGTTATTTCGGTTCACTCGAGGGGCGGCTGTTCATCCACGTTCCTATACTTTGAACTGATGCGAATGCAAAAGTTGATATTTGTATTTGGATTTTTATTAACTACAATATTAAATAGAATTTGTTTGTGGTATTTGTGGGGTGTGTGGAAGTTCTAAAATGTTCTAAGGTAAAAAAATAACGGAAAAATTAAAAATCTAATAATTTTGCAATGAATGACGCTATGGCGTTGCTGATTACTTCAAAACGTGTGTCATTTACGCTATATATATATATTTTTTCATCTGGACGAAAGTTACTCAACGTTTTCTCTGAAAGTAAGCATATTGGTAATACCGGTCTTTTTTTTTCATAAACCAAGTGACGCGATGAACAAACGGTTCCAGTTCAGTTCCAGTGCCATTCAAAGCAAAAACCTGATCGTCACCCTGACACATAAGTTGACATGTCCCACGTGCATGTAATTTCACCAGCACTCTTACTTTACTCTTCAAAACCTGAAAGTAGCCATGCTTACATTACTGCTTGGCGGCAGAAATAAGTAAGGTGCCAGTACTTCCTTGGATAATTTTTTCACTAGGAGCTCTACTAATAGTAAATAATTAATGGCTATACTGCTAATGTCTTCAATTTTCGCATTTGTACCTATCGCTTTTCAAAGTATAGGAATCTGAAAATAAAACGTATGTCACAAAATTGCGGTTTACAAAACACCGTATCGGGCACCGACCCTTAATAATGAAGTGACAAAAAAAATTAAAGTGATATGTAAAAAAGAGAAAAGTATACGCGGCACTACCCACGTCCCGTATTTGGTCGGTGCCCAATATTACAATTTTTATTTGGTGTGATAACTCGCATACACCTAGTAAATGTTTGAGTTTCGTCACTACTGTCGAACGAGCGGGTTTGCCCCTGGGTCGGCCGGGCCGTGACGGGTGCGTTGCCGGCAGGAGTGGTCGGACAGCGGGTCGCGCGCGGGCACCGCGGGCGGCGGGCCGGCGCGCACGTCGCCGCCGCCGCTGTCGGCGCTGCAGTGCTCGTCGCCCACGCCGCGCCGGGTGTCGGCGCACCAGTCGCTCATCATCCACCACATCACGTCCAACTCGGACTTCAACAACATCCCCTCAGGCGAGTGGCTCCTTCGGGCTTCTCTGTTTTAACGCCGCTGCACGTCCTTGCTTTCATTTCAAAAGGAAAGCAAGGACCTTTAGGAGTAGGAGCTTTATTACGTGTCAACCATCGACAGGTCCCTGCGTCTTCTTTCCTCGCATCTTTTTACATCAAGATTGTCTAGTAATGACGTCGATCGCTTTTTTTTTTAATTGTTATTTTCTTAATCCCCAGCACTCGTTATTTCCGCATTTATGCAACAAAAATTCGAACACGGGTAATTCGCATCATACTTTACTGGGACAGTCGAAAATTTTCAATCCGCATATGGTACATTATTGCAGTTGTCGGGAAGTAAAGGATTGCTGGACGAGTATGAGTTACAAGGCGGAGCTTGAGTGAAGCCTTGTATTAATACGAATCAAGTAATACTCGTTCCCGCCGAGGTTTACATAGTGATTTTCTCAAGCAGTGTGAGGAAATAATAGAAAACTAAAGAAGATGTATAATAGGAAAATTAAAAAAAAATATCAAAATTAAAAGTAATATTTGACATATTATTGAGTACTTAGGTTTTCGCGATTGTTACACATGGAAATGAAACTATTTTTGTGGGTTCAACCGTGTCAATTCACAGTCAACTGTTGACCATGGGACCTGTAAAGGGCCTGGAATCTTGGTTTGTTTGACAAAACAAATCCATCTACTGTGAACTGGCAACCGGTTCTTTTTCAATTTTGACAACTTTACACGGTGAAGGTGTAGTGTATGTGTAATAAAAATACACTCGAGAGCAATGAATCCGGGTCACTAAAAGAATCCGAAAAATCTCGGAAACTAATAATGCTAGGTTAATGCAATAAATTGTATTTAATAGACAATTTAATACTCCTTAAATGAAGGTATTAAAACTTTTTAGTTATTGTAAAGTTATATCATAAAAAAATCAAATATGAAAAGGGAACACTTTCGAAGATGGACCTACGAAATTACAGCATTTGTTTTTGCTTTTGTTTGTAATCTGTCATTTATGTGGGTACATAAACCATGTTGATAGTGCTTAATATTCATTATTTAAGCTGAAATCATGTCGCTTACACTTGAAGAATGCACCAGAATACTTACATTGGTGGAAACTGGCCGGAGTCAGCGCGATACAGCCAGGACTGTCGGTGTGTCGCTGTCAACAGTACAAAGAGTTCTCCGACGTTACGAAGAAACTGGTTCTAACCTACGCAGACCAGGAACGGGCAGAACTAGGTGTACCACAGCACGAGAAGACCTATACTTGGTGAACACCATGTTTCGAAATCGCTTTCTCACAGGAGCTGAACTCACAAATCAGTTTCGACGCCTCGGAGGAAGTAACCCAAGTGCATGGACAGTAAGACGTCGGCTTGCTGAATCTAACTTAAAACCCCTTAGACCTGCAAACGGCCCTAAACTGGAGCGTGGGCATCGTATTTCAAGACTAAGATATGCCCAGAACCACGTAAATTGGAGTATTGAAGATTGGTCGAAAGTTATGTTCTCCGACGAATCAAAATTTATGCTCTACAAGCACGATGGAAGGCACAGAGTGTATAGAAGACCAGGGGAAAGATTCAAGCAAGCATGCATCGAAGAAAAAGTAGCCTACGGTGGTGGGTCTGTACTTGTGTGGGCCGGAATTTCTTCTGAAAGTCGCACAGAGCTGGTGATCATAGAAAACGGCTCTTTAACTAGCGAAAGATATGTAGATGAAATCCTCAATGAACACGTTGGTCCATTTATGGTCAATTTTGGTGAGGATGCTATATTTATGCATGACAATGCCTGACCTCATACAGGTAGGATTGTAAATGACTACCTTCAAGAGATGAACATTACTTGTATGGAGTGGCCAGCGCGCAGCCCGGATATCAACCCGATCGAGTATGCTTGGGACGAGCTAGGGAGATGCGTAAAACAACGAAACCCTCCCCCAATCACGCTTCGTGAGCTCAAAATTGCTCTCACAGAGGAATGGGAGAATATTTCCCAAAATCGTATAAGGAACTTGGTGTACAGCATGCCAAACCGCCTAAACGCAGTAATGGAAGCACGAGGAGGCAATACGAAGTATTAAAATTCAAGAAAATCGTATTAAGTTCAAAAATTTCATGTTTCCTATTTTTGTTTTAAGGAGAGATCAGCAGTTTTTTTTCTTTATGTAATTTTGTGTAAATAAAATGTATGGTGACTCATATTTTTTTTACTTTCATTTAAGGAGCATTAAATTGTCTATTAAATATAATTTATTGCATTAACCTAGCATTCTTACTTTCCGAGATTTTTTGGATTCTTTAAGTGACCCGGATTCATTGCTCTCGAGTGTATTTAAAAACTACGTACTTTTATTCAATAAATCAGATGCAAACAATGTTTTCCTTTATCCTGTAAAGTTGTCAAAATTGAGATAATACCGGTTGCTAGTTCACAGTCGATACGTGGTGTAAATCCGGATAAATAGTTTCATTTCTTATTAGTCATATTGTTTTTAATGTTTACAAAAACTTTAGGCTGAGTCCTATTTTAATTAGAGTTTTTGATTTAAGAGAATATTTGACCGTAGTATTTGCTTTTGTCACTAGCACTTATTTTCGTGGTGAACATAGGAAAAAAGATCGAAATTACAAAAGAATGCCCAGGTATTTTGGTCATCGAGTTAGTTCATGTACTCGGTAACGCTAGTTTATGTTACGGCCTTTTTTTTTTGTATAAAATGCGATTAAATTACGAACTCTCGGCAGGTGTCTGTACGATCACACGGGCCATAAATGACTTCGACCGGCACGTTTGAGAAGATGATATTTTGAATATGAGTGCCCGCGATCGGCCGCCATCCGAACCCGGGCGGCCGGAAGGCGCCGCTCAATGAAAGTGCTCCGCAGGCGTGATGCAGCAGCGCTTCGCGGCGGGCGACGCGGCGGGCAAGGGGCGCCTGCGCGCGTTCCCGTCGCGGCCGCGGCGCGCGTCGCCGCCCCCGCCCGCGCCGCCC